AAAATAAAATCCAGGTCACTTGTAGTTCATTTTTACATACTAATTGGTGTTTATGCATTAAATTTTTTCTCGACTGGACGCCATAATCTCTTTTATACCATAACAACCTCTTATAAAGGTTTCAAAACCACAAATAGTTTTCTCTTTCAAGAACCCAGGGCCGGTTTTTACAAAATTTCCAGTTGCAAACATCAAATTCCCTGACTTTCATGAATATTTTTAAAATTCCCTGACTATTCCCTGTTTTTTAGGAAGAATAACAAATTCCCTGACTTTTCCCGGTATTCCCGGTTTTCCCGGCTGCTACGAACCCTGTTAATTAATTATTGAAATAATGAAGTAATTGTTAAAAAGCCAGCAACAAGTATAACGTCAGTATGATTAATGAAGCAAAAAATTAAGGTATTACATGAAAAATACTGTAATATTAATTATTAAAATGACGATAAATGCAAAAAAAATGTAAATTAAATAAAAACTAAACATTTAAAGTACTATTTTGCTTCTAAGGCAAAAATGACTATAATCGTGTTTATTTCATCAAGTTACCCCAGATTAAGTATAAAATAAATTTTGTACGTGGTCCAGAAGCTGAGATAACTAAGATTTTGTAAGTGCGAGCCATTCAGACTCCACGTCATCAGTTTTCAGAGCGAGCGTGCGCCGCTTCCCCCTACTTCTCCGTCTGGGCCAGCTGACGCACTCAGCGCTTGCACGCTTTAGTTTATTACTCAAATACTAAAAATCAAGTAAACATATCCTATTTTTTTTTTTTTGAAAATATAAGTATTCAATATTCCATCAAGCGCGCATCGCTGTAAAATGTTAATTGGGTTCTGATTTTTTTTTTTTTTAATAAAAAAAATTATCGCCTCCAGGTCGTAGAAATTTTTTTTTTTAAATTAGTGAAAAAATGTCAGCAGTTTCTTTCTTTAAAAGTCATTTTCATAAAATAAAAATTGAAATAGTTATTTAAAAAAAACATACCCAAAAAAGTGCAACTTTTTCAGTCACTTTTTGAAATTAATAAAATCGTCAACATTTTTTAACAGCATGATAATATGACTCTTTACGAAGAAAATAAACCAAAAATAGTTACTGTAAGGCTATCCGCTGAGAAGATCTAGCCAATTTTCGAGAGTGCCTTTTTTTCAAAAAATCAATATATCTTGAAAAATAATTCATATTTTTAAATTTTTCAAAAATGTACTTTTTTGGCTTGCCGTGGGCTATGCTTACAGTAAATAGCAAGTAAGGGAACGTAAATGTAAAAGAGTTATAGAAGAAGAGAAAAGAGAAGATTTTTAACGGTTTTTTCGATATATCTCGAAAAGTAACAAAGCAATCGATACTTACAATCATTCGATAGATCTTTTTAAAACCTACAACTTTCTCAATTAAAATTTTTCAATCGGTTCTATATTTTTTTAGTTATTTTAGAAAAACCTTTTTTTGCAACTTTGCGATTTTTTTTAACCGTGTTCGCCATTTTGGATCGAATTTAAAGAACAAGAAACTCAATTTAAAATTTAATTTTCTATACGGTCATATTTTTTTTGTCCAGGTAATAATTTCTGTAAGCATTTCTCTATAATGCTTGGACTATATGAGAGCGATTTTAAATTCAAATAACATATCAAACTTCGACGGTGAAAAATTCCACGACATTTGGTTATTTTTCAAATAATGATAATAATTCAAGCGATCAAGTTATCCTTGAACTAAACAAAATGTTTACACGGCCTTCTTCAACTATTTTTCGCAATTTGAAATAAATCGTTCATTGTCACTAATTTTGACCTTGCTTCGAAAATGGAACACGTGTACAGCAAACATTTTTATTATTATCACAACGTGATCCGCCATTAAAGCGGGGCCAATCACTTTATATACACCCAGTACAATTAGATCTAGTACATTTGACAAATGACAACTTGGCAATCTTTTGTTTTCAAGGCATGCTTTGTTTATGCTGCAAGTTAACCGAGAAAAAAATTAGTAAGGTTAAACTGTCGTCGCACAAGATTTCGAAGCGATTTCCTGCAAGAATAATCTTTGGGTCATATTTTTAAACAAAATTTTGGTACTCTTGGTACCATCAAGGCAAAGGATTTTTTAATCGTAATTACCCGACACCCAATGAAAAAATGCCGTATTAAGGAAATAAAATTAATTAATTTTCCTCTTTCGAGAGACTTTTTTAATTTTTTAACTTGCCTCGGCCGCACATTGACGATCTGGGCGTTGTTGCACTTGTCCCTGAAGTCCTTGGGGTTGTTGGCAAAGCTGTTGCACTTCTGGCAGAAGATGTACCCGCAGCTGTTCAGGTCCTGGCACTGCCCGATGGCGTTCTCCACGACGGAGGGCTTGCCGCACCGCGGACACTTCATCAACGACTGGTTCTTGTTCAGCTCGCTGGCGATCTAAAAAAAAATCGACCGTGGGACCGGAACGTTGCGCTTCGCGCCTTCTCGATACTCACGCTACAGAAATAATAGAAATTCTTCGAGTCCAGGTCAGTCTCCGCGACGCTGTCTTCCTTCTCGGGCGATTTCGGTGGGGTTATCCTGTAGTTCTCCTTCGAGCTCTTGTGCGCGTACAGGAACCTCCTGTACCTGTCGTACGCATTCACGTCCAGCCTCAGACTGTCCTTTAGCGAGTGGGAAACCATCGACAGTCTGTATAAGTCCCCGTCCGAGAGGTGTCTGAAGATGTTTGCCACGATGATGGTGTTCGAGAACACTTTCTTGAAGAGATCCCGTCGCGGGGTAACGAAAAGGCACTTCTTGGCGGGCGTGGCGGTTTTCTCTAGATTCTGCTTGAATTTCTGTGGAGTCAACGGTTTTTTGCACGGTTCTAGAGGCGGCAGGTCGGGGTATAGTATGCCGTAGGCTTCCTTGTTGAGGGGGGACTGCATGTTGATCTGCGAGAAGTTCTTCACGAAACTGCTCGTATTGGCTCTCTTCGGCGTGTCCAGGACATCCCACGCCTGTTTTTTGGGGGTGTTGGGGGCCGACCTGAATTTTTTCCTACCGTACTCATTGTTTCTGCATATTTTAATTTCATGGTAAGGCTTTTCTGTACTTCCTAGGTCAATTACGAGATCTGCGAAAGCGAAAAAACGTATTTTACCTTTAAATTGCGAAACATCAATGTAAAAATGCCAAATTTAAGCAAATCTTAAATAATTAACGAGCCAACTGACCTTTTTCATCCTTACTATTATTCTCTTCAGTCTGAATGTGGAACTTCTCCAGGTGGTTCAACAACGACTCGTTGAAGGTGCTGGAGAAAGGCGGTGACAAGGGGCACGCCTCTATAACGTCTGTCAGTTTCCTCGCACTGCAATTCTCCAAGAAAGAGGCCTTTCTCTTCCTCGACTGGGGGTACAGCGGGGTGGTGTTGCTGCCCGCATTGGGGGTGCTCTCGAATAGTGACCGAGATGAATCGAAGCACCCAGATTCGGAGTTCTGCAACGAACTCGGCGTGTTGTCCATCTTGAAAATAGTATTAAAATAAGTTATTTACAAACGGGATAGTTTATAGTCCTTCCTAGACTGGCGAGTGGCGAAAGGGGGCTCGTTAAACAAATAACAACATACACACTAAAATGGCGCCACAAGCTCGAGTCGCACTTCGGCGCCACTTTTCCCCGATTATTACACCATTATTGCGTTCTGGGGGACCGCGTCGATTTCTTTGACAGTTTTGAGAATCAACAAGTTATGCTTTTAATTTTTTTGGATTTTCAATGGAGAAAATGATTGCACTATACAATAATTAAAATGCCAAATGACAGAAGACGGAAGAGAAAGAGATAGACATAGACAACCTGAGTTACATCGAAATGCTATTGGAATTGTAACGAAAAATAACTTTCTATTAAGTTAACATCGCGCAGATCCAAACACTTCTTGAACAAGTAAGTATTTTTATATGTTTAAACTTTCATTTGGATAATTGGAATTGATTTGTATATTTATATGTAAACTTCGGGGTTACATCGAATGTCAACTAATTAAAAATGGAGGCAATTTTAAACTTAGTAACAAAGAACTGATTCTTTTATTGTTGAATTGTATTTTAAACTTTACAATTAACGACCCTTGAACACAAAAATTTCTTCAGTGCTATTATTAGGAATACATTTCGATGAAGTTATTATTTCACACTTCTAGTCTAGTGGGTTATGGAGGAGATGAACGTATTTTAGCAATTGTTTCTTAATTTATTTGTTGACAGTTGAATTTGTTTTTAACGTTTGCTGTTTTCTGTTCAGTTCTGTTACATTTTAATGGTTTGAAATGCTTTTTAATAAGTATTTTAATTCTACTTAACGTAAGAAACCCGTTTTTAAGAAGAAGGCAACGTATTTTTACAATTTCCGTTAACTATAAGGTGAGTTTTATTGGTATTTTTATATTTTTTAAATAACATTCGCGTTTCGGTAATTTCAAAATTGATTCTAGATTTCTAGACATGTCGATGCCGATTAAAATAGCCAAAGCATAAAGCCCATAATTTAAACTATTTTCTTTCGACAGACACTTGTGCGTTACGTCACAGTTGGCGCTTGTCCTCATTGGTCGACAGTCGACGCCATTTTATATGGACGATTCGTTTTGTAGTGAAAACGTTTAGTTTTTAATAATTTCTGTGTTAGTTTACAAAAAAAATACTAATGATTCTTAAAACAACACTAAATTCATTTATACACGTAAGTTTTCATAAACAATTACACCAGAATTAGTGGCAGTTTCATACAGTTATTGTTCGGAAAGTCTGCAATTCCACTGCAGTATTTTTTCGACTTGCAAATTTGTACCCCTATAACCGATTTCCGGGTAGTAAATCTAGCTGTATTAGTGAAAATAGTGGTACCCTGTGCTTTTTTCCGTGCAAAACGGTCTGTTTGTAGAGAAAAATACAAATTTTCAGTGAAATAATTTCGATTGGGTTTGTTTATTGTTTATAACAAATTGTTGAAGTGAAAGGTACGTTGAGAGGTGCTAGATCCGCTACCATTTTGCCGTTTTATGCATTAAAATCGCACATATTTAACGAAATTGGGCCGAAAAATGCGAAAAGTAGGTCACTGTCTAGGGTTTTTTAGCTTTTCCCACTAAAAAACCCGATCGAATGTCATTTTGTTTTGTTGTTGTCAAAGCCCCAAGACCTATAACCCAGCCGAAATCATATTTTGTGTACTAATTCCGTATAATTGTTTACAGAAAACTAAAACGGTCTCTCTAAAAGACTGCGATAAACCGGAGAAAGTTTAATTTTCCCGGGAAACCAAGTGAAATAATGTGCCCTAACCTAATTGTTGTGTGGAAAAAATTGTAGGTAGTTTTTTGAGAGTGATCGAATGCCTGAGAAAATGTCCACGTCCAGCCAGAATAACGGAAAGAAGAGTTCGAACAGCTCTATCGTCAACACCCCATCCAGCACACCCCTGACGGGCATCGCCAACGGGAACACCCAGGCCAACACGCAGGGCTCCCCTCCGCCCAACAACAACGCCCCCAAATATGGTCAGTCTACTTTACGCTTTGCTATTCGCTTGTTGCCTAAAAATGCCCATTTGGGTCCGAAAAGCTTGCTATTGGAATTTATTTCGTTTCACATTCACTGTGTCGATTTTATTAGGTTTGAGGTTGATTTTTCACCTCCTGCCAACGTATCCACTAGCTTTTATTTGTCTTAATTTATTTTTGCCCCCGAAAGCGAACCTTACGAAAAAAAGCCAACTTATTTTTAACAAAGAAAAATTGTTGTATTTGTTAGCTAATCCAAATTAACTTATTTACTTACATATCCTTGAATAGAGCCATTGTATTTCTTGTGTGTAGGTTGGAACTGTTTATTTTTTTGGAACTGATTTATAGTCTTCGATTTTGATACAAGAATTTGCCAATGTAGCAAGTTTTTTTATAAATACGTTGCACTTCATGACAATTTGTGCTGACTGCGTGTTTACAAATTCTTATGACATGTTTATATGTTTTCTTGCCCAATTGTTATATAGAATGTCCCAGGATTATGTATACAGTGTGACCTATAAAGTTTGCATCCTATGGGAAAATTTTTTATGAGTTCTATTTTAGGAAAATTTGACTTTGTCAATCGTTTTTTGCTTAAAAAATATTGCTCTGTAGCAGCCTCTACATTTGAATATGTTAAAGGTAGAGTAACAAACTCTGTTTTTTTTTTAAATTATCATCATTTTCAAATACTTACCATCGTATCAACCAAACAAAATATCTTTTACATTGTTTTAAAAGTAAAAAATGAATCATATTTTTTATTTTCGTTCATTAATATGTTTCAGAAATAGTCATAAATTCAGTTTTTGACTGTTTTCGTTGGATTGTAACGTAAATGATATTTTGACACTAAACTTATGAGGGTAACAATTTGATAATGTATTTTGAACGCCGTAGAGCCACCACCGTACGGACACATCAATTACTACGACGTTTAGAAGTAGCAACAAATTTTTTTAACATATTTTGAGCACCATAATATGTTTTATTAATAACAATAAATTGTATTTGAGTTTTTCGGTGGATTCTAATGTAAATAATGCTTTGACAGTAAAGGAGTAACAATTTTTTTATAAACAATATTGCAATACATTTTGAGCACTTTAGAGGTACAACAGATTATGTTCTTCAGTTTTTCGATTTGCTCTAAAGTAATTCCTTGGAAGCAGCAAATTTTTTAAACAATTTGGCAATATTTTTCAGCGGCTTCGCAATATATTTGGAGCACAAATTCTATTTTTGACTATTTTCAATGAACTCTACCAGAAAACATTATTTTTCTAAAACTGTTAGCAAAAGTCTACATTTTTGTTAAATTTTCAGCTGACAAAGCGAGTCTTTTTTGTCATCTAGCTGCAAAATATTTTTAATATCTAGAACGTCAAAGTCTTTTTCATTCTAGAACATAACAAATGTCAAAATAATTTGACATATTTTTAAAACTTTATGATTTTATTAATTAAACAGTAATTATTATAAACAGGAGCGTGCGGTGAGTTAAATTTATGCCAGATCCAGAGCTGTCGGTTATTGTAGCTTTTAGGGTGTTCAATGAGGCTGCTAACAATTTATTTGCGATTGAAATTTGTATAGAATCTTCAGTATATGTCTTCGCTACCATACTAGAACGTCGTTCCTATATCGTTTAATTGTGGTAATATCGGCCCCTGCATCAGCTAACAGAGTGGCGGAAGAACGTCTAAAGTAGTGCCCTGTTTAAGTTTTCCGGATGAGGCAAATTGAGATAATGCCATTTCTTTTGGCACATTCCTTATTCTGTTGTCGCCAACCACTCGGTTAACACATTTTCCCTGACATACTTCACAAAAAATCTTCCAACTTGTAGTAACTACCGGATGTAAAGCACAGTATTTACGGTATATCTTCATTTGATCTGGACTTGAACTCACAAAACATCTCCGGGGTAGGTGTTTTGGTATCGGGAATTCTTACAATAATAATTAAATCTTTGTCTTCTATATCTTCGATTGCTATCTTTAGTAGTTCGTCTCTTCTCAAAGCTTCACAAACACCAATTATTAAAATGACCTGAAAAGTTGTCCAAAATTAGTTAAATCAATGGATTTATATTAATTTGAATTAACTTTTCCAGCAGAAATCAGGTGCTTCTTGCAAAACTCTCTCAATTTCTTCTTTTGTTGGAATTCTGGACTTTTTCGGACAGTATCCAACCGATCTGCTTTTCAAATATGGTATTAGTTTCTTAAATTTTCTGAAATTTAAATTTTTTTGGCATTCAGTGTACTTTTTGACATGGAATATACTTACCTAAACGTCGAAGGTTTAATTTTATTAATTTTATGTTTGAAATATGCCAGTAATACCGCTTCGGACACTTTTTGAATTTCCTTCGAACTACACCACCCTTTGAATTCATTGTAGGCAATCTCGTACTGTCTCGATGATTTTTTGAGGATTAATTGCGAAACAGCACTTTGTGTTGCTTCCAATGCTTCCCCTGGTAAATGCTCGTCTTCACTTTCCGAGCCCATTTTGAATTAAACACTCTTAGAATAGGAATTACAATAATTCTGACACCACTTTTTCAGACAACTAATTTTTATCGTTTATTAGGTTGCTATTGTTATGATAGTCACCGCGCCTAAACCGTCTTGATTCAAACATGGTACAAACGATTTCAAATATAAATTAAATTGTTGCATATAACGCAATTGTCTTATTTTATTCTCGAATGCATATTTTGCCTCGCTAAGCTCGGAAAAATAACTTCCATTCTTGAACGCAAAAGTACCATTTCGCGTTCTAGATGCAAAATTGACTATTTTATTCCATTTAACTAATGTATTTTTTATTATTCTTAATTGACAAAATTAAAATGTAAAAATTTTTACAGTTTCTGAAAATAAATTTGCCTTTTTCCTCACATATTTTTTTTTAATTTTTTTTATAACAGACAGCTCATTTAACAGAATATAAATAGGGAAGGTAGCTTTTCAAATTGTTTTCAACGTCAGAAATGAGACTCCGCCACTTGGTTCGTTTTTATTTTTTGCGAATTCTCTTATCAGTTCCGATCCCCTTCGGCAGGTACGCTGGTCCCGAACAGGATCTTCGTGGGCGGCATATCCGCCAACACCACGGAGAGCGAACTGATGCAGCTCTTCAGCAGTTACGGCACCGTCAAGGCGGCCAAGATAATCCAGGACCGGGCCGGCGTCTCTAAGGGCTACGGTTTCATAACCTTCGAGAGCGAGGACGACGCCAAGAGGCCGCTGAGGGAGGCCGAGAACATCGTGCTGCGCGAGAGGAAGCTCAACATCGCGCCCGCCATCAAGAAGCAGGTCAGTGACATTTTTTTTTACAGGACGTTAGAATAGAAGCCGAATCCGTCGATGAAGTGGACATTTTTCAAAACGTCCATATTTTTTCAAAGGTGTATTTGATGTTTTTTTTTTTAAATTTTATTTGTTGGTCTCCAGCCATTTCTAGGAATTTTTTCATTTAGGTACAGTTTGATCCGGGGGTCAAAAGTGACCTTTGGAGGTCACCTGAAGGTCAAATGTTTCTTTCAGAGATTTACGGGCTAGTATCTCGTTGGGATAGCCAGATTTGAAGGTCAACTTTTGTTTTTGAAACATTTTAATCACTGTTTGACCTGTAGAGGTGACCTGAAGGTCATATGTCTCTCCCAAAGGTTTTAGGGCTGGTATATCATCTAGATAGCCCGATATCACGAAAGTGACCTCTATAAAAGTTGTCGAGGTCATAGGGGGTCATCACTAGATGACCTTGGACTTGACATTGATGGTCATGGTATTCTGCTGACTGAATGCAGGCGATGGTGATTATGGTGACCTTAGACTTAGATTTCAAGGTCCAATCCAGGTTATTTCATGATCGACCATTTGACCTCTGAATAATCTCTTGAACAAAATTGCTTTGAAGTCAAAAAATCATATTCGGACGTGAAAATTTCTTCTTTCCGGGAATCTGGCATCAAAGATGGGGATTCCTACTAGAAAAGCGAACGTTGACTTTCAAACGACCTTGAAAATTACTCCCAAGGTCACCAAGTCCCCTCAACAATATTTATAGAAAAAATTTTGGATATCTCTCCATTTTGACCAGTTATATTCAGATAACTTTTAGAAAAACAAAGTTTTTGAACAATAATGTCACAATTATTAACAATTTATTTCAAATATTGCGCCATTACGGAATCCGTGGTATCGCCTTTGATCTTTCTGAGAGTTATCGATCCACGTCTAAGGGAATCATGGCTAATGAAGGTGGGTGTTCCCCAGGGAACCATTCTGGGCCCCATTCTTTATATTTTCGATTTGTTAGAATGCAATTAGCTCCAAAACTGCTCGTTCCTCAAACAAAATCGAAGGAATATTTTTTTTTTTTAGAAGCTCCGATAGAAATTAAACAAAAATTTTAGTAGCGTTGAAATTGTGAGGTTCCGTTGGTAGGGGTACCAACGGTAGATTTTAAGATGATTTGTAGATTGCGAAATAATACACAACAATTGTAATTTTGTGCAGCCGTTCAGCCGGGCGTTTGACGCCTCCAGCCCCCCGACGGTGGCGGCGGGAAACCCGGCACAATTCTTCTTCCCGCCCGGCGCACCCATGCCCTACTTCCAGGGTGGCGTCGCCTACTATCCGCAGCCGGCCCCCGCGGCTCCCGGGGATCCCGCCAACCAGCAGCCCGTCTACCAACGTAAGTGCGCCTTTGTAAAAGTCAGCCAAAGCTGTCGGTAAACGATGGGTACGTTTTTTTTCTTTTATGTACGGGTTGTGTATTTTTCAGCCCCGCCGGTCTACCCGTCGCAGACGGGCCCCCCGCAGACGGCCACGTACCCTTCCATGATGTTCCCGGCCCAGACAATATACATGCCGCAGCAGTACCCCATGCCCATGCCGGTAAGTGTCCGCGTTTGCAGGTTTTTGTTTTGTATTTGGTGGGTTCTTTGTTTCTTTGTTAATAACCAGCGACGCACGACTTTGACGTTGCGATTTTTACGGCTGTGCGTACGTTTAAGGCGGACGGTGGCGAAAAATTAAATTTACAATATTTTTCTAAATACGTCGCCGTCCGCCTTACGGTATGTCGCCGACACGACTTTTTCCTTCACCGTTCACCCGTACGATTTTACGTATCCTGTGTAACGTTTGAAGCCGCTCTCACTCACTTTATAACCTCACACACGAAGGGGCAGCGTCAAGATGGAGGCGCGGAAATGTCTTTAGAAAAAATTGACGGACGTGACGTGAAGTAAACGTTGGTAGAATCGAGTTTGGGGGGGATTAAATATAAAAAATTTTACATTTTTTCGAGATTTTTTAATGCGATGAGAGAATTTGCGTGACATTTATTGCGAGAGTGGTTTGGTTTGAAAGTTGCGAAAGTTAAAAAAGGGAAATGGAAAAAGTACAGTTTTTATCACAATTTCTCGATATTTACATTTTTTTAAATATTAAAGTGTGAAAAAATTAGACATTTATTGCAGGAGTAATTTTGCGAAAGTTAAAAAAAGTACAGGTACAGTTTTTATCTCAATTTTTTAATATTCAAAGTTAAAACAATGGAAAAATACAATTTTTGTGATAATTTCTTGATAACCAAAGCGCTAAAAATTGCCTGACATTTATTGAGAGAGCAATTTTGCTTGAGAGTTGAGAGAATTAAAAAAATATAGAAAAGGTGTAGTTTTTGCCACAATTTTTTATCAACAGCGTTGAAGAAATTTGCGTGATATTTAATGTGAGTGATTTTTGTTCAAAAATTTTAAAAAATTGGAAAAGCAGCTTTTATGATAATTTCTTAATTACAAAAATAAAAGTTTTCATGTGACATTTATTGTGAGAGTGATTTTGTGTGAAAGTTGTGACAGTTGCATAATAAAAAAGAAAAAGTGTGCTTTTTACCACAATTTTTCAATATCCAAAATAAATTTGTGACATTTATTGCGAGAGAAAGATAAAAAAAATAGGAAAAGTACAGTTTTTATTACAATTTCTCGATATTTACATTTATTAATATTAAAGGCATGAAAAAATTTAACATTTATTCCAGGAGTAATTTCGTTTTAAACTTGCAAACGTTAAAAAAAATAGGTGCAGTTTTTATCTCAATTTCTTAACATTCGAAGCCATGAAAGTTAAAACAATGGAAAAAATACAGTTTCTATGATAATTTCTTAATAACCAAAGGGATAAAAAATTTGTCTGACATATTATTGAGAGAACAAATTTGCTTGAGAGTTGAGAGAATTATAAAAAAAAATAGAAAAGATGTAGTTTTTACCACAAGTTTTTATCAACAGCATTGAAAAAATTTGCGTGATATTCAATGCGAGTGATTTTTGCTCAAAAATTTAAAAAAATAGGAAAAGCAGCTTTTAATGATAATTTCTTAATTACAAAAACAAAAGTTTTCATGTGACATTTATTGCGAGAGCGATTTTGTGTGAAAGTTGCGACAGTTGCTTAAGTAAAAAGAAAAAGTATGCTTTTTATCACAATTTTTCAATATACAAAATAAATTTGTGTGACATTTATTGCGAGAGTGATTTTGATTGAGAACTGTGAAAGATAAAAAAACGGTAGAAAAGCTGTAGTTTTTACCACGATTTTTTATTAACAGCACTGAAAAAATTTGCGTGATATTCAATGCGAGTGATTTTTGCCAAAAATAAAAAAAAAATTGAAAAAGCAGCTTTTATGATAATTTCTTAATTTACAAAAACAAAAGTTTTCATGTGACTATTTATTGCGAGAGCTATTTTGTGTGAAAGTTGCAAAAAGTGTGCTTCTTATCACAATTTTTCAATATCCAAAATAAATTTGTGTGACATTTATTGCGAGAGTAATTTTGATTGAGAATTGCGAAAGATAAAAAAAAAGATAGAATAGTTGCAGTTTTTATCACAATTTCTTATCATCCAAAGCAATGGAATTACTCTCTCAACGTATATTGCGAGTGATTATGAGTGAAATTTGCGAAAGTTAAAAAAAAACAGAGAAGGGGTAGGTTTTTCAGAATTTTTTATGAAAAGCGATGAGGAATTTGAGTAGCATTTATTGCAAGTGATTTTGTCCAAAAATTAAAAAATAAAGTTTAAATTTCGTTTTAGAGTTAAAAAAATTGAAAAAGTGCAGGTCTTTTACATTTTTTTTTTGCAAAAGCGGGGTAATTTTGCTTGAAAGTTACAAAATAGAAAAAGTTGAGTTTTTATTACAATTTTTTAAAATCAAAAGCGGTGAAAGAATTTATATGACAGTTATTGCCAGCATTAATTGATTTTGCTCGATTGTTAAGGAAGTAAAAAAGGCGAAGTTGAAAATTTCTGAATATTTAGCGTTGGAAGAATAGAAAATTTCTAAATATTTGAAAATATTCAAAATTTCCGTCATTGGAGGGTGTCTGACATATATTGCACAAGATTTTTTTTTATTTTCCTTCAAGTATGGAGTAAGATTCGTTAGTGACATCCGAAAGTGGTTTCCTTGATTTTGACGCGTCCCCTTCACATTGTTGTACAGTTTTGTGTATATACCGGGTGATTTTGTCCAGTCCAGCAACTACATATCGGAAGCGGGGCTGTACCCGGTCACCCAGCCCGCCTACGTATTGCTGGACGGCCTGCAGTACTGAGGGCCCCCCTCGACCCCCGTCGTCCCTTTCTTAAGGTCTCTGTTCGCACGACATATGTTTATACTGCTTGTCGTACTGTCTTTTTTTTTTCTTTAATATTTTTCTCTTTCGTTTGCGAGGCGGCCCGCTCCCGTGTTTCTCTTTCGGCGGATATGCCGGTGCTTTTGCTGTACGCACGCTTTGTAAATATCTTGACGCACCGCAAAGAAGAATCGTGGCAAATTCCAAAAAAAAAAAAAACGTAATGTAGCACCACAGCATATGTAAACCTGCAGTTTCATTCCGTTGTCGGCATTTTGATTTCATTTTGTAGTTTTCGGTAACCTTGAACGGATAATCAGGGCCGTAATTATTTGGGAAATAGAAAACGTCCAGTTTTTATCGCAATTTTTTAAAGTTTAAAGCAGTGAAAGAATTTACGTGACGTTTATTGCCAGCGTTGATCAATTTTGTTGCTCGGTAGTTAAAATAGTGAAAAAGGTGCAAATTTTGCCAAAATTTTTTAATATCTAAAGAAAGAATTTGTGACACTTATTGCGAGAGTTGATTGATTTAAAATTGAAGTGTTGATAGAATTTCTGTGACATTTATTGCTTGGAAAGTTGAAAAACACGTTTGATTTTTATTCGGGCAGTATATTTTTTTGCGAAAACACACCTAAAAATACTCGTAGACAATCGGAGAAAATTATTTTTGTGTCACGCTTCTTACAATTTCTTTTTCGTTAACACTTGCAACCGTTTTTAGCAAGTTATTTATTTACTAAATTAAAAAATTACATATTTTTTGGAGACTAAAAGCAATACTATAACCGTGTGTCCCAAAAAGAGTCTTCCGATAACTTTTCCGGGTTGAGTCGTATCAAAAAAAGTTCCAGATAGAAGTTGTAGGAGGTCAAGAAACCAAATAAATGCTGGTGAATTTTCTACACTCTATCGATTACCGTCACAAAAAATGGGGAGTGCCATTTAATATTCTCAATTTGACCTTGGTCTGACCTTGAAAATTATGCTTAAGGTCAAGTTCAAGGTCACCAGCACATTACCTTCACACGACATATTACAACTTTTATCTGAAATTTTTTCTTGACGCAACTCAATTCAGAATAGTTACCGGGACGTTCGGATTTTTTTGGGACTCCCTGTATATGTCTATAATTCCAAAAGGTCTCTCTTGTCCCAGAAACACAGTCGGGAATGCTTCTTTGTGCAATGTATTGCCTGAATATTCTTCAAATTTCTTGAAAATATCAATAAAATAATTTTTTTAATAAAAAATTTATAGATTACGCGTTTTCAGAAAGTCTCTAGAAACTAGAATTATTACTGTAAGAAATATTTGGTTGTGTAAAAGCTGTACGTCGGTCTGCTATGCTCGTCTAACGGTTTTCGCTCATCTGTATTTGCCGGTTTACATGTGGTGCGGTAGAACTGTGTGAAAATTTATTTTTTAAATGTTTAAAATGAGTCGTCTGAAGGAAGGAGCGGGCCTTCTCGCTTGTGCACATCAATATCAATGCCAATGTTATGCGGCGTGCCATGTTTTTCCTTTTTATTTTTGGCGTATGACATTTTTAGAAGATGGACACTGAGTAACGCAACAAACATAACAAAATAGGTTCGTTCTAGGATAATTGGTGCTCATTTCGCGAGATTTAAGTTTTTTTTAAGTATACAGGGCGTTTTGAAAGAAAGTATCGTGGATTTAGGGGCGGGTAGAGTGGCGGAAAATATAATTTTTTTTCTGCCGATAATGAGCCAAAGGTGATTTTTTTTTAAATTACCTTTTTTATCATATAAGTATTGCATTGGAGTTTGGTACGAGCAAGTTTTTGAGGATGGTAAAAACACGTGTATAATTTTCAGCTGTCTTGTAGATGTGCGATCTTTTTCAGTGCTTTCAATGTGAAATATCAAAATTCTGTGATAGAAGATCCTCGATTTCACTCCTTATTTTTGAACAAATCTTATCATTAAAATCGGGACATTAATTTTTTTTTCCAATTTTTTCAACGTTATGGATCAGTGGCAGCAATTTTTAGAGGCGTTCAATTTTTTTTTGATATGGAAATTTACTTTCCATTTATAAAATCAAAGATGTTTAACATTACTTTCATTAAAACATAGGTTTTCGTTTAATTTTGTCTTTTCTTATGGAAATTTCGATGAGGGGTGGATTTTTCAATTTTTCAAAATTATACGGCGCGTAACTTTGAACGAGAAGAAAGTTGTTTCTTTCTAACTTATCTTCGTAATTTTCACACCCTCGCTGGACACTTTGGTGTAGCTTAAAATGACCGTATGTGCTAGCAACGAGCACATACCCCATTGGGAGCCATGACGTGCATTGTTGTCAAATCGCTTCTTAACAGCCTAAACCTAACCTCGAAAATGTTATACAGGGTGAGTCAGTTTTTTGTAGACAAACTTTAACAGGAGATAGAACACATGTTTTTAAAAGGAAAAGTTCCTATAAACATATGTCGTAGAAGGCTTCGTTTCCGAGATACAGGGTGTTGAATATAATTTTTTTTTCTCGAATTTTCATTATAACTTATAAACGAATGCTTAGATTTTTTTCATGTTTGGGGGATAATGCCTATTAATTAAGGGGCATAAAACAAGCGATAAGAATGTTCAAAAACTTGCACAGTGGCGGAGTGGAGGGGGTGCTCAACCCCTTTCTTAAACAGAACATCTACGCCAATGAATATTCTTTTAAAAAACTGTTATTTTCATTATCTACATACAGTTTAACAAAAATAATGTCCCTTCTTCTGTTTCGAAATTCCTGTGCGTTTCCGAGTTATTTTGATTTTTAGTGTTTGATGTGGTACTAAATTAATTTATTTATTATCAATTATCGGCTAAATATTTAATTGTATTAACGAAACCTACCTAAATATGGTTTATTAAGGATTCTAAAAAGCCGAAATCTCATATTCTTTATCTCTTTCCAATGTAGTTAAAATAAATATTTGTTATATCAAGCCATACTCAAATACAAGACTTTTATAAATTGAAATCTGTTTAGTAGGTACACTAATTTTAACAATCCTTATTTATTATGTGCTGCGTACTAATGTACTGCAACTAAATTACAAAAAAAAACATTGATGTTAATGTTTATGGAGAAATTTTTTGAATTTAGAACAATATTTAAGTAACAACTTCTTAAAACTTTTTGACAACTGCACAATAATGTATTGTATGTATGTAATGTAACAGATTTCAACTTATAAAAGTCTTGTATTTGAGTATAGCTTGATATAACAAATATTTATTTTGACTACATTGGAAAGAGATAAAGAATATGAGATTTCGGCTTTTAGAATCCTTAAAAAACCATATTTAGGTAGGTTTCGTTAATAGAATTAAATATTTAACAGATAATTGATAATAAATAAATTATTTAATTTAGTACCACATCAAACTCTAAAAATCAAAATAACTCTTAAACGCATAGGAATTTCGAAACGGAAGAAGGGACATTATTTTTGTTAAACTGTATGTAGATAATGAAAATAACAGTTTTTTTTAAAAATAGTCATTGGCGTAGAAGTTCTGTCTAAGAAAGAGGTTGAGCACCCCCTCCACTCCGCCACTGTGCAAGTTTTTGAACATTCTTATCGCTTGTTTTATGCCACTTAATTAATAGACATTATCTCCCAAACATGAAAAAAATCTAAGCATTTGTTTATAAATTATAATGAAAATTCGAGAAAAAAAAATATATATTCAACACCCTGTATCTCGGAAACGAAGCCTTCTACGACATATGTTTATAGGAACTTTTCTTTTTAAAAACATGTGTTCTATCTCCTGTTAAAGTTTGTCTACAAAAAACTGACTCACCCAGTATATTGTCAATGGGAAAGATTGTTGTGAGCGACCTCTACAGGATTGTCAAAAACTAACATGTTTAATGTTCTCAAAAATTTACTTGTACCAGATTTGATTGCAATGCATTGTTTTTTTGTAAACAATACAGGGTGTCCCGAAATTCATGCAACAAAATTTAATCACAGATTCTTAAGACGAATTTAGGGGACCCGTATTTTTTATTTTTGCCAAGTGGCAGTGGAGTTGCAGCCCCCTGAAGTCCGCCTCTATGAATAATCTTTTTTTTATATCTCAGAACCCTGTTGTACGAAAATCACTAAATTGGGTACACATAGGTTTTATAACATGTGGAATCTGATGGTGCTACATTTTTGCGGGGAACCCCGTTAGGACAATTTTTCGTGGGCCCCCTTGTCTTTGGAGCCAAAAAAATTTGGTCACATATTTAAATTTCTTAAAAATTATCAGGCCACTAGAAAGCCGTTAAATTTAGAAACTTTTTGGTCTCTTTATACTTTTTTCGTAAAACGCAATGTTTTCGAGAAAAATGTCAAAATGTGATCGAATGCATATCGTGATTGGCCATTTTCCTCAAAAACATTGCGTTTTACGAAAAAGTATCGTGAACCAAAAAAGTTTCTAAATTCAATGGCTTTCTAGCTAACTAATAATTTAAAAAAAAAATCAAATTTGCGACCAAATTTTTCTGGTTCCTGGTGCCCACGAAAAAGTGTCTTAAGGGGGTTTCTTGCCAAAAAGCGTAGCACTGGAAGATTCCACATGTCATAAAACCCCTGTGTACCAAATTTAGTGATTCTAGGGGGCTGTAACTCCGAAAGAGGTGGCCAGTTGGCAAAAAGAAAAAATACGGTTTTGTTGCAAGAATTTCAGGACACCCTGTATATCTATAAATTTTTATTTAAAGGAATCTGACTCTAAAAAACAAAAGGTGATAGACCGATGGTCTGTAAGAAAAAATCATTTAACAGCTTTTGGATTTATAGCATTATTTTTCAAAACACCCTGTATATTATATATAGATGTGTCGTTATCCAGTGTCTTGGCATCGGTATTTTGTGTTTTGGATAATGTATGTGTATGTTTTATCCTAAGTTTACGTAATTCTAGATATTTTGCTGGCGATGTTTCTTTTGTCAATCGACTTGCGGAATTTTACTTTGCAATTTTTTTTTTAAGTTGGTATTGCGATGGAAAACCAGGTGATAATTGTAATTTAACGACATTTTGAATAGTTTGTAGATAGATTTTGTGGAATACTAGACCTGGTTTTTCATTCTATAGAAAAAAATGTAGATAGATTTATTTTTTAAAGATTGGAACCGCCGGATCTTTCAGATCTATGAACGATTCGGAGGTTCTTTGTTTTAGTCTACGTAACCGATGATTTAGCATGAATTTTTCCTAAATTCTTAATTTCTTAGAAAAAAAGTTGCTTGAATACGATGCGGATGTTTCACTTAAAACCTCAAACTCGAAAATTCAACGTTTTCAAATTTTTTTCGTGCATCGGTATTTTTTTTTATTCAGTTTTAAATGAGACATCTGGCATATTGCATTTGTTTCTGAGCCCGGACGAACGTAGCGTAACGAAAATCTCTCTCTCTCGCCTTTTAGTATGATTACAACTACTACCAGAGCAATGGAGCACCACCCTCCGCCCAGTACATGGTTGGCAATCAGGGCGGCTCCGGGGGGCCCCAGTGTCCCCCCCTGCCGCCTTCCGGCAGCCCCCCTCGACCGCCCTGCTACGGCCAACAGGTAGGTCTCGATAGCGGACGCCGTCGTTTAGTTTTATCGGATTTTTCTCTCTGCCCGTCGCAGATGCCAGCCTACAGCCCCGCCGATCCCATGTTCTATAACCTGCCTGTCTACGGTGCCACAATGGAGGTCCCACCCGTCTATACTGAGGCCTTCGACTTGGGCGCCGGCGGACCCTATGGCGAGGTAAGCGCTTTTACGTTTTTTTTTTTATGGGATCTGGTCTGGTTTGTTTAATAGTCGGTGGTCGTAAATTGTCTCCTGATAATTCCGCATTGCTTTACACATTTTAAGCTCTTGTAAGGCAGATGTAAACAATAAACCGCTGTAATAAGAGAACTATCAAAACCGCAGTAATACCGAATAAATTGGTGTTTGTCGAACCAAATTTTTTAGTTATTTTTCGTACTACCTGTCCTGGAAATCTCAGGGGACGATTTAGGACGGACCTCGATGTTGTCGACATGTTTCTCGTCGGTTAGCTCGACGAACATTGACCGATAAATTTGCCCGTCAGGACGCCTTCAGCAACATGGCTGACAACATCATCGCACAAGATATAGACTTGTCCCTATCGCTACCGTTCATCACACCCAACGAGATCAACCACAACCACCCGCCACCACTACCTCTGCCAAACGTTGCCAACGATCCGGCCGCCACCGACAAGCCCGCGACACACTTCCAAGCCGCCAACGGGAACCCACCCCATCCGGAAGAGAGGAACACCACCACTCCGGTGGTGTCCCTGCTCTCCATAGACCACCAGCAGGAGAAAGACTACTTGTCGATGCGCGGCGGCAGGAGACGCAAGTCGGGGCCCCCCACTGTCCCCAACAACCCGCGTAACCCGCACGGTTTCCTCAGCAACGGGTACACGAGCCCCCTGAGCACCTACAGCGTGGGTTTCCATCCGCAAACGTACAACCCGTTTGGCAACAACGGCGGTTTCTCGCCGAATCGCGCCAACGGCTTGGACGGCAGGATGAACCGTACCAGGCCGAGGGGGCGGGCCTACGACAGGCGTTCCAACGATCACTCGAGCCGCTCGAGCCTGAGGACGGACTCCAACTCGTCGGCCAGCTGCGTGGACGAGAACAGGAACGAGGAGAAGCCGCGGATGAACGCCGCGAGCACACCGCCGCCGGCCCCCTACTCCCCCATATCGCCGCACATGAAAATACTCCACAACACCGTCTCGAGGGAGTTCCACAACATCGCGCGCTACGCCACCAATTACCGCCCGCCATACAACCACCACCACAATATTAATAACATTAACGACAAGACACACCCTAACCCCAGCGACAGCCCCCTATCCCCCCATTCCTCCATTTCCCAGGTGCACGTGACGGCCTCGCAGAGCTTTGCGCCGCAGGCCCGGCGCAGCAGGCGGTCCATAAGGCGCGGGGGTCCCGCCGGGGTGAGCGAGATTGGCGCCGGAGACGCCCCCCTGCCCAACGACGACGTCTGCAAGAAGTTCGAAACGCTGAAGCTGTAGAGGCGGGGATTTTTTTTGTTTCTGCACGTTTATTTAAGACTGTAACATATTAAATTTAATGTAATCTTAAGAGAGGGACGTCTATTTAAATATAAATATATATTTATCGAGGAAGACCGGCGGGACGTTCTTGTGTTTTGATGGTGGGGACGGACGTCGGCGGGTGGCGTCTCTTTCGGAAGGTTACGATTCGCGTTTTTGTTGATGTTCCTTTGTTTGTTGTGTTTTGTTTGTTTCTTGTTGCAAGGCCTACTGAGTTGCCGAAATTTGTTTGTTAGTCGGGGTGTAATGTTTTTTCACGAGATCCAAGTAATCTCTGGAGGGACGACGCCGCCCCACGCGCCGTCCGATTGGTTTGGGCCGCTCTTTATATGGACGACAATATATATATCGAAAAAAATAAAACAACACACAAAACGTACAGTGAGATGCCATCTGTAGTTTAGCCGTTTGTAGATATATATTTTAGAGGTGTCGCGCCGTAGGGGGCGCGTTTGTAGATCAAAAGAAACTCTGAGAAATAAAATTTAACGATGTTATTTAATGTTTAAGGGAGAAACGCCAGAGGTATTTTTTTGTGGACGTGCGTACGTTTGTTATGTTTGGGTTTTTCCACGAGATGGCGTCGGATCTTTTCCACTTGTCGCGTTAAAATTTCAAATTTTTGCTAACGCCACCTAGTGGGATGCTTTGGGACAGAGACGATCTCGTGGGGGAAATTCCCTTTAGTGTTATTACGTAAATATTTGCCATGTTTCGTTGCCGTTTTCGATAGGGATACAAGGTACTTAAGATGTAAGGCCCGTGGACGGGCGGTCTTCCATTGTTTCCGTCGGTACCCGTTTGTTTTTCGTGGACGGGACGCAGCGCCCGCTCGATATTTTAAGGGGACTGGTTTTTGACAGTATTATAAGGTTGGAAACGACGGAAGGCCGCCGCGTGCGAGAGCTGTGTTCTTCACCGCCACTACTTTTTATCGTTAGTTAGGTTTTAGTTGTAGGTTTTTTGTTGTTTTTTTTTTAGGAGAGTCCGCGCCGACTATAAAGGTAAATTTGAAAAAAGTGAGATTTTTGCTCAAATAGGTTTTTGTTTGTGACCGTATTTGGCTCTCTAGTTTGGTTTTTGTTGATGGGTAGGCGGGACGTTTCGGGTTTGGGCGGGACGCGGGACGGCCCGCGACGTAGTGGGTTTTTTCGATTTTTAGGCTGTGACGAATTAAACGTTGTATTTAAAAGATATTTATTGAGGTTTTTGTAGTTTTTTATACGCCACTAGGGGAGAAAATTACTTAAAAAATAATTTCGCGTCGCTTTCTGTCGTTTTGTCCCCCTCTCGCTGGGGATGGGCGTCTCGCGCGGGGTTAGGGTTATTTTCTAGGTAATTTTTGCAAGCAGAAAAAAAACGAGTCAATCAAAGCGTCGATTCAAATTGAATAAAAGTTGTTCCAAAGAGCCTAACGATTTTTCAAGTAGTAGAAAAAAAAAACCCGGGAAGATTTTTCGTATCCTTTATTTTTCTCTAAGTAGGTTTGTTGATAATGTACACTTGTATATTATTTTTTCCAAAGACGTAGTTTTAAGCGAGCGTAGGGTATAGCTTGTAAATTATATATAAATATACAAATTATATATAAAAAAATATATATATACATAAAAATATAGTTTTTAAGGTATATAGTAACTTATTGAGTAGTTTTTAAGTAACTCTTAGGTCTCATAGCGAGTAAGGGAATTGTTTTGGCCAAAATACCGCGACGACCCGCTTTTTTCCCCCCCTCCCCTCCAAAAAAGGAAAAAAAAAAGAACGCGCGCGCGCGCGCGCGAGTGAAAGAAAGAGATCGGACGTGGAGTTTAAAATTCGGGGTTACGCGTTTCTTTTGCGAAATTTATTTTTATACTTGTGAACCGAGGTACCTGCATGTTATCTGAAAAATTATTGTACATATTTTGTTGGCCCGCGGGCCGAGCCGTTGTTGTTTATGCGAAATTTTATGGACCTTGTATATGTTTTGTTGAGTATATTGAAATTTTCTTGTAATAAATAGGAGTAGCCGATGACTGTTGGCCAATTAATTGTAGGTGTATTTCTAGGGTTAGGAGCTAGGGATAGGGGCGGAGGGTGAGATTTTTCTCTTGGACGAGTGTAGGACTGGGCGTCGGACGTACGGGCGCGGGTCGAATCTCAACGTTGACGTTCGTGTGTTTGAAAATGTAAAAAGTCGAATCTTGAGATTATCAAATGTTACGTGGTTAAAACAATTGACTGGCATGTAACAACTTTAATAAGTAAATCAAGTAAGTCATTTGTTGACAACAATTGACTGTCGTGTAAAGACAAAGCCAGACATCTTGATAAATGCTAAATTTGAAGTGTTTCCGGAGAAATATGAACATGATGATTTAAGTAAATTAACGTTTTTTTCATATTTAAAAATGTAAAAAATTTGTAAAACACAGCTTTGGAAATTAAGTCGTGAGTTTATCAATTGTTTCGTGATGAAAACAATGGACTGGCATGTCACAAACTTAATAAAAAATCGAGTAGGTCATTTGTTCAGGACAATTGACTGTTGTGTAAAGGTAAAACCAAACGTCTTGATAAATACTGAATTTGAACACTTTTTCTGGAGAAATATAAATTTTAATACGATTTTAGTAAATTAACGTTATTTTCATATTTAAAAATGTAAAAAATTTATAAAACACCGCTTTAGAAATTAAATCGTGAGTTTATCAAATGTTGCATGGTAAAAACAATGGACTGGCAAGTCGCAAACTTAGTAAAAAATCGAGTAGGTCATTTGTTCAGAACAATTGACTGTTGCGTAAGTACAAAGCCAAACATCTTGATAAATGCTAAATTTGAACAGTTTCTCTGGAAAAATATGAATTTTAATACGACTTCAGTAAATTAACGTTTTTTCATATTTAAAATTGTAAAAAATTTGTAAAACAGCTTTGGAAAAATAAATCGTGAGTTTAACAAATGTTACGTGGTAAAAACAATGGACTGGCATGTCACAAACTTAATAAAAAATCGAGTAGGTCATTTGTTCACAACAATTGACTCATGTAAAATCAAAGCCAGACATCTTGATAAATACTAAATTTGAACAGTTTTTCTGGGGAAATATGAATTTTATACGATTTTAGTAAATTAACGTTTTTTCATATTTAAAATTGTAAAAAATTTGTAAAAGCTTTGGAAAATAAATCGTGAGTTTATCAAATGTTCCGTGATAAAAACAATGGACTGGCATGTCACAAACTTAATAAAAAATCGAGTAGGTCATTTGTTCACAACATTGACTCATGTAAAAACAAAGCCAGATATCTTGATAATTACTGAATATGAACAGTTTTTTGGTGAAATATGAATTTTATACGATTTTAGTAAATTAACGTTTTTTCATATTTAAAATTGTAAAAAAATTGTAAAACAGCTTTGGAAATTAAATCGTGAGTTTAACAAATGTTACGTGGTAAAAACAATGGACTGGCATGTCACAAACTTAATAAAAAATCGAGTAGGTCATTTGTTCACAACAATTGACTCGTGTAAAATCAAAGCCAGACATCTTGATAAATACTAAATTTGAACAGTTTTTCTGGGGAAATATGAATTTTATATGATTTAAGTAAATTATTAACGTTTTTGCGTATTCAAAAATACAAAAAATTAATTAAAAAGGTGTATAAGGTTGTTTTTGTATAGTAAACATTAAATTATAACAGTTTTTCTTGAGAAATACGAAGTTTTATACGATTTTATAAAATCTGTGTAATTTTTTCATACATCGAAGGAGAATTAAAAAATTTACTGCGAAACAAATAAAAACTTCAAAAAAATGCCGACATGGTAACTTTTTTAAATTAGAAATTTATTTGCCCGAAAGTGCGACGTCCAGTCCGGTCCGTTTCAATTACCGCAAATGTCAGAGCAATATGTCCTTGTCAATTCCTCCCCTCCCGTTTCTTGTACATACCGATCCTTAAGTCTAGCAAACATAAACTTGATACAACATGCTCTAAAAGGTTGTGCGTAATATACTTGTAGAACTAGCCTAAGACAAATTAGTGTTAGTCCTTAATCGTGTAGCCATGTAAGGAGGGCGGGCGGCGAGCCCCGGGACCGTTTCCTACCGTCTGGCGTGCGACGACTCAACGACAATCCATAAATTTCAGTCATACGTAACAGCATCCCTCAGGTGAATTCGAGTAATGCCGTCATACGTAATATTTCCCGGCGGATTCAGGTCTGGCGTGCGAGACGGCCTGCCGAGCGGTGGTTTCCGAGGGTAGGAAGCGGCGTCTGGGTCTCGCGGCCACGTTCGCATTAGAAATAACTTATACAAAGCCTTCGGGTGTTACAAAATAAAAGTGAGATGTATTTGTTATATTTTAAAAGCCGCTGCGAGGGGGGTTTTACATAGAGAAGCCAAAATTTTGTGATAGAACCCAAAAAATATGTTTTAAATTGGCGTTTTGGGAAAATTAAAACATATTTTTTTTTTCACTTAAAAGTGTGTTCAATTCGACTTTAGAGGTAGAAGCTTACCGAATGGGATTTTATTGCCGAGACGGGGGCGGGGTCGCCGCCCAGCGCCCAGGCGCCAGACACACGAGAAATATTTTAGTTGTAAGGCAGGCGAATATGAATAAATATATATAGCAAGAGATTTAAATGTAATAAAATGCAATATTTTTAGGAGGTAAAGTATATTATTTTAAGAGGACGGCCGATTTGTTGCGGTAGAGGCACGTGTTGTTGAGAGGCGTCGGTTTATCGTTGACAATTCGGCGCGTCCATGAAAAACAGTGAGAAAACCCTATTTATTAAATACAATAATATAACTATCTTATCTCTAAGGCTATGTACAAAATATCTCAGATAATAAATAATATAATGAGTAGTTTTTGTTTCCTCGTCTCCTCCGCCATCGATTTATCCTCCAGCCGTTTACTGGATATCGGGGGGTGTAATTCGACGATGTTCGGGACATTAGTCAGCAGAGTAGTTGTTTCTCGCAGTATCGGTTAAAGATTCTCTTGATCGGTAGCAGTGACCATTCACAGATGTAACTCTTTTCTTATATCTCGCCCATATGATGTTTGGACGTGGTCGAGAAGCCAAAAATAACGAGATCTGTGGTGTGAACTGATAGGGACTAATAATAAGACCAAAACCGATATACAGGGTGTCCTGAAATTAATCCAACAAAATTTGGTCGGTTGGTTTTTAAAACAAATTTAGGGGACCTGTATTTTTTATTTTTGTCAAGTTGTAAAATTAGAATAAGGCTCATCTTAGGCTCAAGTTCAAAAGTGACATAAGCCCGATTGACGCTTTTTGTTTTTTAGGGGTAAAAACCACCCCTAAGTGAAAAAAATTGAGAAAATTAAGTTTAAGCATTTTATTGATAAAAATCTTGTTCAAGACCAAAGATTAAATAATGTTCCATGTTCTCGAATTTGATCTTTTCGACCCTTTATTTAACCCTAAAAACTACCCCTATGCAAAAAGTAATGATAAAAAACTACTTTTTAAAGATTTGGAATGATTAAATCGTGCAATTATTTAAAATAAAAGTTACTTTATAGCTAATAAAATAATTTTTCCCTTTCAACCCCTAAAAACCACCCCTGTATTGACAAAAATTATAAAAAATTACTTTTTAAAAGTTTGGAATGCTTTAACGGTGCAATTATTTAAAATAAAAATTCCCTCATTGCTTATGAAAGAATTTGTATCTATCTCATAACACATTTCAACCCTTATATAAATCACCCCTGTGCTAAAAAAATTATAAAAAATTACGTTTTAAATCTTGGAATGCTATAATTGTGCAATAATTTAAAATAAAAATTCCCTTATATTGTTTATGAAAGAATATTTTACTTTTGCCATTTTCAACTCTTGTAAACTACCCTTTTACCAATATTAATGTAAAATATTTTTATTATAATCGATTTTTAAATATAATCAATCATAAAAAAATTGCTACGCTGCATATAAATAATCACACTAAATTTGTTTACTTATTTTATTTAATATAATATATAAAAATAAGAAGGCCTATTTTGCTCCGAAAGAATGTCATTGGTTTTTTTACCATAACTCGGTTAATTTTGAAGCTATAGTATTTTACAAAAAAGCATTTTAAAGATAATTTCAAGAGCTGTACGATTGTTTGCATATGAAACCTTTTAAGTCCTTCGTTTTTTAAAGGGAGATCGAAGGACTCGAGATAGGTCGTTTTTTTTCATTTAAATGGATATTTCAAGCGGCGATATCTCCTTTATTTTTTACGCTGTAGGAATAAAAAAAAAGCAAAATATTTGTTGAAAAAAAAAACTACATTTTTGTTGTCTGTCATTTTTTCCGTATCTTTCATAGTTTCAGAGTTATTATATAAGGCAATTTTTTTTTAATAATGAAAAATATGTTTTCAACTTTTACCGTATATTATTCAAAAAATATGCCTTCTAAACCCGTCTAACTTAAGGATCGTATGAAAAACACTCGAACAAAACTAATTGTAAAGGGTCTACGATTAATTTTAATTCTGATGGAAATGGTACAGCGTTTACTGTTCATTTTTCCTTAAAAAATATGAGCAACCCATCTGTTTTTGACGATAACTCCTTCAATTTTGCTCTAATTAACTTTTATAAGTGCTCATTTTGAACGTCTTTTTGAGTACTACAAAAAACTCCCAGAGCGTTATAAACGTAAAATTAATCCTTTTTCCGTTATTTGACGTTGAATACATCAATTCGAGTATTCCCCCCAAAACAAGTCCCCTTCCACTAACCATATTTCGCTTTGTACCTATAAAACGTACAACACGATTTTCTTTGTTTATTTATAAGCTACATTTTTGTCCATTACACATTTTTAAATAAAATGCGTAGTTTTTGAGTTATTCGCGAAAAATACTTTGTTTTTTTTTCACTCAAAATTCCAAGTTTTCAATCGTGAATAACTAAAAAAACTATTGATTTTTCAAAAAAATTCTTTGAATATATTTTGCTCAAAATTTGATTCTCTATCGATTTCCAGCGTTATTTTTGAAAAAAATTTTCACCCCTGGGAAGGGGTGTCAACCCCCAAGAGGGTGGAAGCGTCAATCGGCGCTATGTCACTAATGTTCATTGACCTTTTCTCTAACTATCTGCCAAATTTCAAGTCGATCGGATCAGTTTCAAAGAATTCGGAGGTGAAAAGCTTCAATGACTGTACTAAGCCCCCTGAAATCCGTCCCCCAAGAATAACCTTTTTTTTAATATCTCAGAACGCTGTTCTACGAGAATCACTAAATTTGGTACACAGGGGTTTTATGACGTGTACTACGCTTTTTGGTGGGCATCCCCCTTAAGACAATTTTTCGTGGGCTCCCTTGTCTTTGGAGCCAAAAAAGTTTGGTCACATATTTAAATTTTTTTAAATTATTAATCCGCTAGAAAGCCAATATATTTAGAAACTCTTTTGTCTCTTGATGCTTTTTTTGTAAAACGCAATGTTTTCGAGAAAAATGTCAAAATGTGATCGAATGCATATCGTGATTGGCCATTTTCCTCAAAAACAGTGCATTTTCCAAAAAGTATCGCGAGCCAAAAAAGTTTCTAAATTCAATGGCTTTCTAATTAACTAATAATTCCTAAGAAATTGAAATTTGCTTCAAAATTTTTTTGGTTCCAAAGACAAAGGGGCCCACGGAAAAGTGTCTTAAGGGGGTTCCCCACCAAAAAGCGTAACACTATCACTCACGATTGTACACGTCATAAAAATAACAGATTTTGAGAAAATAGAGCTGAGAGAGATGAAGCACCCTGTATATCTGGTATTTCTGCTGACTGAATAATCCCAGCGGTTTATTAGATATTGAGNGCCTATTTTCCTCTGAAAAAATGTCATTGGTTTTTTTACCATAACTCGGTTAATTTTGAAGCTATAGTATCTTACAAAAAAGCATTTTAAAGATAATTTCAAGAGCTGTAAGATCGTTTGCATATGAAACCTTTTCAGTCCTTCGTTTTTTAAAGGGCTCGAGACAGGTCGTTTTTTCACTAAAATGGATACTTCAAGCAGTGATATCTCCGTTATTTTTTATGCTATGGGAATAAAAAAAAGCAAAATATTTGTTGAAAAAAAAGCTACATTTTTGTTGTCTATTATCTTTTACGTATCTTTCATAGTTTCAGAGTTATTATATAAATAAGGCAATTTTTTTGTATAATGAAAAATATGTTTTCAACTTTTACCGTATATTATTAAAAAAATACGCATTCTAAACCAGTCTAACTTCAGGATCGTATGAAAAACACTCAAACAAAACTAATTGTAAAGGGTCTACGATTAATTTTAATTCTGATGGAAATGGTACAGCGTTTACGGCTCATTTTTCCTTAAAAAAATATGAGCAACCCATCTGTTTTGACGATAACTCCTTCAATTTTGCTCTAATTAACTTTTATAAGTGCTCGTTTTGAAGGTCTTTTTGAGTACTAGAAAAAACTCCCAGAGCGTTATAAACGTAAAATTAATCCTTTTTCCGTTATTTGACATTGAATACATCGATTCGAGTATTCCCCCCAAAACAAGTCCCCTTCCACTAACCATATTTCACTTTGTACCCATAGAACGCACAACACGATTTTCTTTGTTTATTTATAAGCTACATTTCTGTTCATTACACTTTTTTTTGATAAAATGCGTAGTTTTTGAGTTATTTGCGAAAAATACTTTGCAAAAGTGTTTTTTTCACTGGAAATTACAAGTTTTCAATCGTGAATAACTAAAAAACTACCGATTTCTCGAAAAAATTCTTCGAATACTTCACTCAAAATTTGATTTTCTATCGATTTCCAGTTATTTTTGAAAAAAAAATTTCCACCCCCGAGAAGGGGTGTCAACCCCCAACAGGGTGGAAGCATCAATCGGCGCTATGTCACTAATGTTCATTGACCTTTTCTCTAACTATCTGCCAGATTTCAAGTCGATCGGTTCAGTTTCAAAGAATTCGAAGGTGAAAAGCTTAAATGACTGTACTAAGCCGCCTGAAATCCGTCCCCCAAGAATAACCTTTTTTTTTATATCTCAGAACGCTGTTGTACGAGAATCACTAAATTTGGTACACAGGGGTTTTATGACGTGTATTACGCTTTTTGGCGGGGATCCCCCTTAAGACAATTTTTCGTGGGCTCCCTTGTCTTTGGAGCCAAAAAAATTTGGTCACATATTAAATTTTTTTTTAAATTATTAATCCGCTAGAAAGCCATTATATTTAGAAACTTTTTTGTCTCTTGATGCTTTTTTCGTAAAACGCAATGTTTTCGAGAAAAATGTCAAAATGTGATCGAATGCATATCGTGATTGGCCATTTTCCTCAAAAACAGTGCATTTTCGAAAAAGTATCGCGAGCCAAAAGAGTTTCTAAATTCAATGGCTTTCTAATTAACTAATAATTTCTAAGAAATTGAAATTTGCTTCGAAATTTTTTTGGTTCCAAAGACAAAGGGGCCCACGGAAAAGTGTCTTAAGGGTGTTCCCCGCCAAATAGCATAACACTATCACTCACGATTGTACACGTCATAAAAATAACAGATTTTGAGAAAATAGAGTTGAGAGAGATGAAGCACCCTGTATATCTGGTATTTCTGCTGACTGAATGATCCCAGCGGTTTATTAGATATTGAGAGCGCAATTCAATGCTGGTAGGGGCATTAGTCCGTAAAGTAGTTGTTTCTCGCAATATCAACGGTTAAAGATTATTTTTGTAACCTCACTTGTATTTTTTGGGGTGGAAATAAAAAGTCCAGTGATTTAATTATTAAAGTTTATATTTTTTCTGCGTTTATGTATAAAGTGTCGTCACATTTTAGGAATGCTTGCGGATTCAGTCTTAGAGGCAGACGAGTCTTCGAGCTAATACTCAGTCTGAACCTCCTCAGAATTTGCACCAGGCCGATTTTCGTTTGCATCGTACACGCCTGAATGCCTAAAAAAAACAGAAATTATAAAATAAATATTTCAGCTCAGTTCAATTGATAACACAGAGAATAAGAACTTAATTTCTTTGGGAATAAATTTGTGGACAAAAGTGGTAAAAAAATTAATAATTTTTCAAATTTATAAAGTTTTTGACAGATAGATAATAGATGACGCTTTACTGTTCACAAAGTAAACAATAGATGGCGCTTCAAAAAATATTACTCGCAATTAGTGCCAACCAAATACCTACTTTCGTATTCCCTAGGTCCCTCCCCATAAGGCATATAAAACGGAGGATTCTTATCCTTCTTACCCCCGTCAAACCGCTCGGGGTCAAACTTTTCCGGATCCGCGAAATACTCGGGATCTCTATGCAAAGAAAACAGAGGAACCACTATATCGGTTAGGGTAGATATATTTATGCCCGTATCCCCTAGTTTGTAACCTTTCCTCTCGCAAATCTCTACCAGGTTGGCGGCTGGGGGGTACAATCTCAGGGTCTCTTAAACAGAGTTTGATATAGTTACTGTTTTCGAATAGAAACTTATACTTACCGTCAATTACCCGGTCTAGGTATTTCATATCTCTTAAACTTTTCCAAGTTATAACGTGATCGTGACGTTCCAAAGTGTCGTTAATCTCGTCCCTAGCTTTTTCCTGGATGTCGGGATTTCTGCACAACTCGTATATGGCGAAGTTCAGAGTGGTTGAAGAGGTGTCGAAACTGTAGTAGAAAAATAGATTTACCTTACCGACCTATAAAAAAAAACAAATTCACAATAAGGTTTTTATTTTCTTTTTAATAAATATTGTTTATCATACAATGTTCTTGTTCTGCTAAATTTGCTCACCGTCGCAAATGTTTGTATTTTTAAAAACATTTGTAAATATGTTTTTCCCACTTATACGCCTAAGACATGAGAGGAAACACCTAAGCTGGAAACTGACAAATCGAGAAATGAAACTATGCAGCATTGGATGTTTTTTTTTTGTAAACAATAAGCAAAGAATAACACCTAATTTGTAAAACATTCTTGATTGTCACTAATAAATACATTAAAGAGTAGGAGGCCCACATGAGATCCTTGAAGAACTCTTGAGACGACCCGTACAATTTCTGTCCTATTAATTTTAAAAATAACATCGTAACGCAAATACTTACAATTTGAAATAGTAAGAGGGGTTCGTCTTGAGTCTTTGACCAATCCTGCATGGAAAAACTCAAAGAGAAAATATTGATGTGTTTATAATCGCCGGTTTCCCGATATTTAATGTATTTCCTTATCGTGCGGTACAGCAGACTCGATACGCTTTTTTCTGCAGTTCTTAAACCTACAAAAGAAATCACAGAGTTCCAGGTAAAACTTCACGTAACATTGATCTTACCCATCGAAGACAGCCTGTCCGATTGACATTTGCAAAACCTCGAACTTGACCGTCTGTAGCTGTAGCAGTTGACTTTGTAGCAGTGGTGTGTGATGACGTCGGTCGTAAAGCAAGCAAATAACTGAAAATGTAGTAAATCACAAGAAAAAATGTGTACACGTGTACGGAAACGAGTATGCTTTGAAAAACTGTGACAAATAATCGTTAGTTTCTAGGCAACTATTAAATTCATTTGTTTTACTTTTTTTTTACACAGCCTACTTGACAAGCACTAAACGACATTTATTTTGAAAAAAAAAAACGCTAGTCACGTGGGCAACTACTTACTTCCTTCGCATTAATGTCTCTCTTTTCTAAGGCACAATCATCAATAGCTTCGATAAGATAGGGGGTAACGTCCAAAATACTCCAAAATAAAGGCTTCAGCTTTTTGCTTAAAACGGGGGGGTTCAAGATGGATCTCATTTGCTTCCATTTTCTGCCGTCCAGGACCACGATATCCTGTATTACTGGTTCATACCTATCAGTGTAGTGAAAACCTCTGTCTTCAAAGTGGTCCTTATTCTAATAATTAACTTTTGTGTGAGCAAAATGTAGAAATTCATACGTTAATTTAATCTTACATTAACTAGAATATCCCTAATAAGTTTTAGGTCTTTTACGATCAAAACCGATCGAATCGAAGTCGCTATCCCCGCATATTTGTATCCCTTGCTTTTCATTTCTAGGTAGTGATCGATCATATTAGATTTGGTTACGACGCTAGGACCGTGCACAAGGTACAACAGAGACACGAAGGGGTATTTTAAATGTAAATCGGGAATTCCTTTGAGGGCCCAGTGCTTCAAGCAATAAAAAGAGTACAATAATCCAACACAAAAAGTAATAAAATAGATCATGTTGATCGGCGTTTAATCGTTTCATTGGCGCAGATCGTGTTTTTTGAAAAACTGAAAAAATCGCGATTAAAATATAGTTCGCTGGTTGAACTACATTTTTGTTTTGTTTACAAATGTCAAAATTAAATGGCCACCTAGCGGCAAGTTATACAGGCTTTTCCATGTTCCCTGATCAGTTTAGGTTTAGAGTACGAGTAAAAGGTTACAATTTCTTTATATCTAAAAACCTGACGTATTTCTTTTGATTCCTTTAGACTAAACTGAATACGAGTCAATAATAACAGGATTTTCATCCAATGCTGACAGCTCCTTGTTTTGAAAGTTCTGCGTCTAAACACACTGCACCATCTTGCACCACAAATATTAAAGAACGTAATCGAATTGAGGGAACAAAGATATGTAAAGTCCCTAGACTGATCGTATCTAGGAACTTTATTTTTGTTTTGGTTTTGTAGTTTATCTAGAAGTTGGGTTACGTGGGAAATAAAAAATTGTGTAGATTTATTTTGTAATTTTAATATTTGATAACGAATTGATGAACTGTCAGATACAGAAAGAGATAAGATAGTGTTGAGGGCAAACGAACGCTTTGTCTGCTTTGAAAGCAGTGTTAGTCAAATAAAAACAAAGTAAACGCGATGACGATACTCGCAGCAGAAAAAGAAGTAATTTCGACTTCAAAATATGGTTTTAAAGTGAAGTTGAATCACGTATACCCCGAAAACAGATCCCAGAATTACACTCCGACCCTTAGGGTGATATGGAGCATGTTACCTCTCATTTTAAGGTATATATGGTATTATATCGTCTACAAGCTGACTGGAAAGTCAATTGTGATGGATTACGTAGAGGTGCAGAAAGCAAAACAAATTTATGGTAAGTATTACAAGTTTTTTGTAGTAGACATTGTTGATTTAAAGTTTTACTGTTTAAGGTGTCCCAATTGGGGGGATAGGCTGTGGTAGTATAGGTAGAGGGTACAGAGGGGAGTTCTGTCGATTTCAGTTGAAACCTGGCATATACGAGTTTAATACTGTGGACGCTAACCAGTTTATTGTCACGATAAAAGACGAACATCAGGAAACGATTTTGCACAGCTTGCTGTCCACATTTCCGTAAGTTTTACAGTTTCTTTCAAATTACTTTTACGTTTCTTCGATGTAATGTTAAATTTCTAAAAACGATAACAGTGTAATTTGTTTAAAATTAATAAAAAAGTCATAGATAGAGGTGTAAGTACTTTAGATATATTAGGACGTCAAACGCTTACTAATAAGAGTAACCTTGGTCATTCATTACATGTAAAATAGCGTTTGTTGATAATAAAATTTATTAAAGTTGCAGTTAAATTGAAGTCATAGACAAACAAAAATGACTTGTTGATTTAATAGATAGAGTCGGCGTCACAAGCGACTGTGGTGCCTCTCTTGATATTCAAGATTACTAACGTCACACTCGAAATTGACAAATTTACGTGTTTTTGGGTCAAAAATTAGTATAACCCTGTGATAAGAAAAAAAATTTGATTTTAGAAAGAAAGGTCTGAAAGCTTGGAAGAGCTTCATAGACGGCAGCAAATGCTCTTACACGGGGTTATATCCGAGGGCGTGGACGGAATACGACTTGTCGGAATATGGGATCAAGCTTACTTGCCGGCAGATAAGCCCTGTCATACCCCAAAATTACAACGTAAGTATTTTTTCATTCAGTGCTTTGTATATAAACTCGTTACAATTTGCTGACCGTTAAAAATTGGTCCCCGATTTCAAAGTTGACTTCCCTGCGATCAGTTTATTCGATTTTACGATCTGTTTTTTATTATTATGTTACGTTTATTTCTGAAATTTTTTCTCATACTGTCTATAATTCAACACGTATCTCAAACAATAGCAGAGGTAGCGACGTCGATCAAAAAGACGTTCAGAAATGATGAGGCTTCAGTTTGATTCCCAATTTTAGTGGGCATATCCTACAGGGTGCTTCAAATTTCGGGAAGAGGAATGTTATTTTCCCAAAAAGGGTTCAGCCAGAAGAGGCTTTCAATTTAAGCGATCTATCTGCTCTAGGATCGCTTAATAGAGACAGATCAGTTAAATGGGAAGTCTCTACTGGTTTTAACCTCAACATATCACGATTCTGATTAGTTTTGTTTGTTACTGTTTGAATTAGCAAAACAAAGTCTAGAAATGTGATTGATAAAAAGTATAAGAATTTTCATGGTATTAAAACTGTAATCGCAATTTTTGTACTGATCAATAAAATGAAGCGGAAAGTTGAAAATTAATTTCGTTTGAATAAACAGCTGATAGAAATCTTTTTTTTGGCTAGGTGTTTTTTTTTGTAACGATTACGAGACCCTAATAAAGTAAATCAGTGGCGGCTTTTTAAATTTTCAATGTCAAACGACTAAATGCATTTGGAAATTTTTAGTTGCATTCACAAAATTATAGAAAAACTGATATTCACGAGCAGGATTTTCAATCAGATTTTATAAAAAATAATAGGCAACTATTTGGAAATTTTTTTAATCTGCTCTCAAATAATAAATAGAAATAAATTTTTATATCAATTGGTAATATTCAAATTCTTAATTTTTGGCATTTTTTCAACGCAAAATTGTCAAAATACTAGTCCACCGGCCCACGTACAAAGAAAAAAATGATTACCAGCAAGCTGTAACTTTCCGTGCAGCTTAAGTTTGACGAGTCGCCCTAGATTTGACTACGAGGAAAATTCAACAGTGGTAAGTTTTCCCGGAAAACATATCAATCTGGCATAAACATGGAATGTTATGACCAGCACTTTTTTTTAAGTTTAAATGAAAGATATATTTTTTAAACCCCCCAAAAAATTTGTCTGACACAAATGTTGGTATTTTGAGTGTCCCTTACCCCAAATATGTCGAATACGAAATGAATTTTATTGTTCGATAAAATTTTTGAGAAGTTTTTGCAAATTGACACCCCATAGATGTCAATTTAACGACAACATGGTGATAACCAACTGTCGGACTAAAGCATCATTATTTAAAAAAATGCAATATTAATCTGAGAATTTAATTGTCGGACAAAATTATCAGTTTTTTTTTGCTTGTCTGACAAAATTAAATGATAAAATTTAGCGATTTCAATACTTACGCCTGATGTAGAAGAAAAGTTTATATTTAATAAAAAAATATATGAATTAAAAAAATTTTGTTTAAATTTCTCAAATTTCAAAATAAATATAACTAATTTAAATTAATTTTTTATACAATTACAAAAAAGGTGCACTATCTGAACATTTAGAAAATTAATTAACACAACTAAAATTGCTGTATTTCAATTGTACCTTATTAAGTGGATGATGCAGAATAATATTGTTAAAACCGAATAGTAAATACTAAAAATTGTTAATTTTTTCAAGAACAAAACTATGTGTAACTGTTTGTCAAAACAAGACTGCTAATTTTAATTTAAAGAAACACAAGCAAAAATGTATGCATTCATTGTACAGTTACCACTTTTTATAAAATAGTTAAACTGTTTATAAAATAAAATGTACATATAAGTTTTTTGAACAAAGAAATCATTTTGACGGAGATTAATTAAATTAATTTTTATAGACATAATTATTTATGAATTTCTGTTACTCCTGTTAACAAGATAATTTTCTTATTTATTCTTCTTTATTTTTTCCTTAAAAAATTAATTATTTTATAGCGGAATGAACATTAGGTACCACAAAGATAGTTATTTTTCCCATTTTTAAGGCAAATTTCCCATTCCATTTGGCAGACAAGTATATTATTGTGTTATACATTTCAATTATTAGAGAAAATAATCAAAACTAGATTGCTGGTTATCACCGACCATGTTGTCGTTAAATCGACATCTTCGGGGCGTCGGACTGCAAAAACTTCTCAAGAATTTTGTCGGACAATAAGATACTTTCATTTCAAAACTTATTACCAAACCCTCCCAGAAAAATCAGCTTGTTGGTTGTCACCAACCATAATGTCACCAAATCGACATATTTGGGGTGGGGGACAAAGTCAAAATGCCAAAATTTTTGTCGGACAAATTTTTTGGGGGGTTTAAAAAATTTATATTTTTCATTTAAACTTAAAAAAAAGTGCTGGTCATAACATTCCATGTTTATGCCAGATTGACATGTTTTCCTGAAAGTGACGGGAAAACTTACCACTGTTGAATTTTCCCCGTAGTCAAACGTTGGGAGACTCGTCAAACTTAAGCTGCACGCAAAGTTACAGCTTGCTGGTAATCATTTTTTTCTTTGTACGTGGGCCCGTGGACTATACTAAAAGCTATGCTCATTTCAGATTTTTACGGCAAACAATTTGAGACCAAAAACATATTTTTATGTTTTTTTTTAATTTTCTGCGTATTGTGAAAAAACGGGCGAAAATCACAGGTTTTTTGCACTAAGGCCTGGTCTTATGACGAGCCACCACTGAAGTAAATGGATTCAGTTCATGTCTTCATCGTTTCATTCCATGTTTTCAGATAACAACCGAAACTACAGTCGTTTATATACATATTATTTTAGGATAGCTCGTTGCCCTGTGCGGTATTCGTGTGGAATGTAGAGAACGTGTCCAGTCACGAACGTACAGTCACCATAGCGTTCACTTTCAAAAACGGCACCGGAACCAAAAAAACCGACCGAGCCTGTAAGTTTTTTTTTATATAGTGATTCATTAACAATGGGAAAATCGAAAGCTGAAGATACTACACGTGAAATGGTGACCATTGGCGCAAACATGCCTTATCCGAAAGTTGATAGTTTCGGAAATACAGGGTGTTGAAAGTTAAAATTTTAAATCGTTTTTTTGCGATTATTCTGAAAATATGTAGGTTAGGAACTTGAAAATTTGTGAAACTATATTTTTTTAGGCGACGAATAAGATGCGTGTTGTAATTTCAGCATTGCTCATAGAGGGCGCCACTTACGACCAATTTTACCGAAAATTTAGTTAATAACTTTTTACCCTGTATATTTAACATGAAACTTGATTCAAAACCTGAAAGAGCTATCATTTTTCCATTAATTATGTACTCTTGTTTCATTTCGGTATCTCGATCCGTTTTCGAGAAAAATCGATTTAACGAACACTATGTTTTGATAATATGAGAAATTAAAAGCGAAACAAACCAAGTGTTTCTTCGTGTTATTACAACAATTAACAATAAAACAAATAAAATACGTAATTATGATTTAAAGTAATTGTTCGAAGAATCCACCGTTGACACTGATACACTTTACACGTTTTCTGAGAGATCTTCGAGTTTGAAACAACATATTGGGATTGCGTCTGACTTCGTTGGCAGCGATTTGTATTCTTTGCCACAACTCTTCACACGAGCCAATAGATTCTTTGTAAACTATATCTTTCATTCGAGACCAAATAGAAAAATCAAGAGGATTGAAGTCCGGACTTCTGGATGGCCAAGCAAAAATGCTTACATGGCCAATCCAGCGATTTGGAAAAACTGCATCTAAATATGCACGCACTGGCCAAGAAAAATGCGGTGGAGCTCCGTCGTGCATGAACCACATGTCTCTTCTTAAATAAAGTGGAACTTCTTCAAGCCGTGGAAGCATTTTTACTTGGCCACCCAGAAGTCCGGACTTCAATCCTCTTCATTTTTCTATTTGGAAGAATCTATTGGTTCGTGTGAAGAGTTGTGGCAAAGAATACAAATCGCTGCCAACGAAGTCAAACGCAATCCCAATATGTTGTTTCAAACTCGAAGATCTCTCAGAAAACGTTGTGTAAAGTGTGTAAATGTCAACGGTGGATTCTTCGAACACTGACTTTAAATCATTATTACGAATTTCATTTGTTTTATTGTTAATTGTTGTAATAACACGAAGAAACACTTGGTTTGTTTCGCTTTTAATTTCTCGTATTATCAAAACATAGTGTTCGTTAAATCGATTTTTCTCGAAAACGGATCGAGATACCGAAATGAAACAAGAATACACAATTAATGGAAAAATGATTGCTCTTTCAGGTTTTGAATCAAGTTTCATGTTAGACATACAGGGTAAAAAGTTATTAACTAAATTTTCGGTAAAATTGGTCGTAAGTGGCGCCCTCTATGAGCAATGCTGAAATTACAACACGCATCTTATTCGTCGCCTAAAAAAATATATTTTCACAAATTTTCAAGTTCCTAGTCTACATATTTTCAGAATAATCGCAAAAAAACTATTTAAAATTTTAACTTTCAACACTCTGTATTTCCGAAACTATCAACATTCGGATAAGGCATGTTTGCGACAATGGTCACCATTTCACGTGCAGTATCTTCAGCTTTCGACTTTCCCATTGTTAATGAATCACCCTGTATACAAAGTGTGCGGAACGTTCCGATACGTCGAGATATTTTTCGTTTCAGCGACCAGCAGCTCCAAGTCCTTTTCCTACTTACACACGGAGGGGGTCGTGCTCTACCACACCATCGACAAGATGCAGTGCGCCTACGCCCTGGCCGTCAGGCCGGACAACGGCTTGAAGATATCCCGCTGCCTCTACTTCGATCCCAACTCGGACGGCACCAAGCCGTGGATACAGCTGAAGAACAACGGGTGCTTCGACAAGATCACCGACAGCAGCCACGGTCACGTGTTCGGCGAGATGGGGTGCGGCATCGCGGCGAGGCGTACCCTGAGACCGTCGCAGGGCGGCGAGACGGTCATGAGCCTGGTGTGGGACATGCCGACGGTGAGTTTCCCCGGGAAGGGGAGGAAGTACAACAGGTTCTACACGGAGAGGTTCGGGAGGGAGAACGCCACGTTGAAGATGGTCGATTACGCGTTCAAGAACTACGCCATGTGGGAGAAGGGCATTCACGAGTGGCAGAAGGGCGTTTTAAATGACAGGTAACGATAATCCGAACGGAATGCTTGGGGTTTATTTTTTTTTTAAATGCACAGTTTTTCAGTACACTTCCGGACTGGTACAAGTCGGCGTTGTTTAACGAGACGTATTACATAAGCGACGGCGGTGGCGTGTGGTTGTCGTTGAACGAGGACGAAGCAGAGACGTTATCGAAGACGGATCCGCGGTGAGTGCAATGATTTTTTGACAAGTTAAAAAAAAAATATTTAATTCTAGGTAATTTGAATGTTATCATCTGTAGTTTTAATGTTATACAGGGCGTTTCAGAATAATCTATCAAAAATATAATGTTTACAATTTAGACTTCCGTAAAATACTCATTATCCTTTACTTTTCTGACGGTTTTTGATTTCAATCTCACGATTGCTCGATCACTTCAGGTTTTCAATATATCCTAACCTAAAACTGCCAGAGTCACGATTTTTCGTAATTTTTGAGGTTATGTTACATCACGAGGTAATTTTCTACCACAAAACTCGTTACGTCATCTGAAAACACTACCCTTCCCCTTTAAAATCCATTGGAATGTCTTCTTTCCTTCCCGAGAAATCGTCTCTTGAAATCGATTGGTTTGACGTATTTGTCGCTATTCGGAGATTGCGCAGCACCGAGTAAAGATTCAAAACGAGAGGAGAATCGAATTACAAGCACTGGTCCTTCAGGTTTTCGCGCAATTTGTTTTTTTATTCCATTCGCCATATTGGTTTCGCCATTTCGAATAAGCAACTCGCATGAAAGTCTAATTTTTTTTTAGAAATGAGAGAGTAATGATAAATGAACAAAAAAAGTTGTATATTAACAGTTTTCAAAATACAGCGAGTATGTATTAATATTGGGGAGTTTCATCACAACGTGACAACAGCGCTACACAGCTAATGCACACCACATGACTTGTCCTACGGAAAAAATGTAAAAGACTTATTGTGAAACATTTAGTAAATTTCAAGACAATCGTTTTCTAGTTTTTAAATAAATAAAATAAAATGTATCGATTTTGTAGTTCGAAGATAGTGTTGTGCTTAAATTTTAGCCCGAATTTTAGTAATTATGAAATCTCTTAAAACAGGAACTTTGCTTTTAATCAAATTATGAATTTGAAAAATATGCAATTAAAGTACCGAAAGATTCACGTCGTCCAAATAAACATACGTGGAAAAAATAATTTAGGTACTTACCAAAAAGCAAAGTTAAGTAATTTTTAAAAACACAAGTACAAAACAACATACATACAACATATGCTCAAAACGTCCACCACCATTTTCGATGCACAGCTTAGTACCGCGTGTTATCCGCCGCGCCGTTGTCACATTGCTCGGTATGAATTTTATGGAAATTTTACGCCCAAAATAACCACAGGAATCGATAGATGAGTCAATTTTAAGTAACAAATGTCATATAAAGTTTTTTGGATAATCCAATACTTTCCGAGTAATTCGTCATTGAAAATGTTGATTTTTTACTTAAAAAGTGCTTGTTTTCAGAAATTTTTTTACAAATAACTCTGAAACCATTGGATTTAACGAAAAAGTTGTAATGAACAAAGAGAAAGGTAATAAAAAACAAATCTAATGTCATTATTTTGTTTTTCTCTAATTGCAATATAAACCGAGTTATGGATTTTTAAACATTATTATATGTTAGCTAAAAACTAAATTGGAACCAGTTAACGTTAAATAACGCCAAAACCTTAAATATTAGGAAAAAAACTATTTGAACCTTTTTTAAAGTTCTTTGAAAAACCTTTAAAATGAGCTATTTTAAAAGTCTAGAATCAAAATTAACGGAACAATGATCAAAATAACGTCAAATTTTTTTTAAGAAAAAATTAATAAACAAATCAGTGCCTTTGGCGACAGAATTAAAATTAAATGCAATCCATTTACAGATTTCTTCATTTATATTCCAAGAATATGTTCTGGATCTTTGGCTCACTTACAAAGCATGATTTCGAAAAAAACTTAATTTTTGAAAATGTAAATTTTTCAAATTTTTGAAAAAAAAACGATTTTTACGCTGTAACTTAAAAATTAAAGGGGTACGAAAAAATAGAATAAAAAAATTTAGCTTTTATTTTTGCCGAAGATTTTGCTTTATTTTTTATTCCTCTAAAATTAATATTAATCGAGATATCGCCATTTTAAGTTATCATATGAATGAGAGAACCACCCTCTTCGAGCCCTTTAAATCCTTCAAACTTAAAAATATTTGAAAAAAAAACGAAATTTTGGAAATCCGTTTTTGTTTCATTTCAGCTTTGTTTGAGGTGATATTGAAAAAAGAAGAACACTTTCTCATGGCCACTTTTTGCCCTCTATCGAATGGCATAATCAATTTTTATATGTAACGTTTCGTCTCTCCAGGACCATCATCAACTTCGTTTTTTTAAATACGACCCTGTACATTTTATTACAATTTTTGCCAGCCTTCATTACCCCCAATACTGTACTGCATCAGCCCGAACCAGATTGAGGCGTTTTGTCTCGAAAAATTCATCTTCAGTGTATCCGTTCCAAATTTATCAAAGTTTTTTCTTTAGATTTCTTTGTTTATTGAATTATCGTACACTCTAAGTGTCGTTAGACCCTGTAAAATCTATCTAGTTATTTAAAGTATTAATTAATAAGGGTTGAAAAGTTTTCAGAACCCATGTCATATCAGATTTATTTGTTTATTTTAATGAATTCTATTATCTGTTAAAATTAAGGCAGTTAAACTTCTAACACTGTATAATCGACAACAGCTAACAGTGGTAAAAAAAATGTATCCCTTTAATGCCACAAATTAAGCGCAGGTGTTTAAAATTATGTAAAAATTTATATTTTGCCGCGTTGTGACGTCATTTAGTGCGATTGAGAACCTAACCTGCTTCTCGGCCGTCTGCCATCTAGTCTACAATTTCTTTGCCGACTAGACGGAACATAATCTTACGAAACAAAGTGAATTTGGTTGTGTCTAAACTCTCGTTAGTCATTTATTTTCTCGATCCTCGATCGCACTAAATGACGTCACGAATTAGCGCGGCGGCAAACGCCGGTTTAAAACATTTATTTTGCTCGCCAAACATAAGTACTTCATTATTAACTCCACAACCTCTAAGAGATTTCTAATGTTTCCAATACACGATTATGTAAGGTTCTGTATTATTTCCACCCAATGCCCATTTATAGCCGTTTATTTGGAAAAGCTCTTACAATCACAAGCGTTTCTTTTAAATAAGTGCTAGTGGAAACAATTTTCACTGTCGATATTGCAAGAAACAACTGCTCTGCTGACTAATGCGACATACATCATTCGTCAGCAGAACCGCCACACATATACCAGTTTCGAATTGGTTAAGTTATAAGTTGACTCCGCTGACGAACGGTCCTAGTTTCCACTATATTATACGGCCCCGGTCAGGGCGTTAATCCTCAGAGTAGTTGTTTCCCTCGAACGAAATATCAATGGAAACGTCCTTTGCTTTGGATTTCAAGACGCACCTACGGCAGATTCGCCTACCTGGAGGGCCACGAGTACAGGATGTACAACTCGTACGACGTCCACTTCTACGCTTCACACGCCCTACACAGGAACTGGCCCAACCTGCAGAAGTCGCTGCACTACGATCTGAGGGATTACGTCTTTTTGGAGCTCCCCGATAAGGTCAAGATGCTCTACGATGGGGACGTTGCTGAGAGGAAGTACCCGGATTCCGTACCGCACGACGCCGGGGACCCAGGTGGGTGTTTATTTTTTACCGTGGATTTTTTTTTTATTTGTGGTATTGTTTGATGTTATAATTATTGCACGAGCGCTTGGAAAAATTATTAGGGGGAATGTTCACTATTTTTAAGTGTCAAATCGAAAGAAACTCCCAGTAGGATCACTTGAGGGGAGCAGATCAGTTAAATGGGATGCCTCTACTGATTTTAACCTCACTTTACTTTGCTTTAAAGTGTTTAAATCTATTTGAACTTAATTTTTGAAATTTTCCGAAATCCTCATCGAGCGAAGAACAGGGAGCCAGATTTGATGCCGCACCATCAAGATCTCAGTTATTTTTAGAGATACAGGGTAGTAAAAATTTTGCCTTTTCGAGGCTATCGGCGAGAAACAAAATTTTGATCTCGATTTCTATATTTTTTTTTTAACTGAAAACGGAGAGGTGAAAGTTTTTGGAGTTGTACATTTTTCTTTAGACCACGCTTATGGAAAATGTGATTGATTCTAGGCGAGGAGCCTTTCCAGCTGGTGAACGCCTACCCGATCCACGACGTGAGCAACTGGCGAGATTTGGGGCCCAAGTTTGTCCTGCAGACCTACCGGGACGCCTTCGATACTTCCGAGGGACTGCCGGACCGCCAGTACGCGGAAGATATGTACAACGCCTGCTACACGGTCATGCACAGGTGTTTTAAGTTTGACCTCGACAAGGATGGGCTGATAGAGAACAGCGGCGTGCCGGATCAGACGTTCGATACGTGGGTGATGGAGGGGGCGAGGTGAGTGTTTTTTTTCTATGTTGTTCACTTTTTTTGTCTTGTATTTAATTTCATTTTAAAAATTAAGAATATTGATGTTGATTTTTTTGTTTGGAAGGTTTTCGTTTTTTTTTATTTTCTATATTTTCTTAATTTATTTTTTTTTTGATGAGTTCTGCGTTTTTATCATAATATTTCTCTACTTTTCAAAAATAAAGTATTTCAGTTTTGAATCATTAAATTTTTTTATTAGGTTTTTGTTTAGTTTTTGTTNATTTTTTGTCGATTTTTGATATTATTAATGTTAATAATAATTTTTTTCCTTCTCCTAAATATTAGGCATATTTGTTTTAAATTTTTTTTGGTAGGTTTTTGTTTATTTTTATTTTCTGTATTATTTTCTTTCTTGATTTATTTTTTTTTTGTTCAGTTCTGCCTTTTTTCATATCCATAATCATATTTCCCTTTTAAAAATGAATCAGTTATGAATCATTGAATTTTTTGGTAGGTTTTTGTTTTTTTGTCGAGTTTTTTAATTTTAATAATAATTTTTTTCTTTTTCTTAAATATTAAGCATTTTCGTTTTGAATGATTGAATTTTTTTGGCAGATTTTTGTTTATTTTTTGTTTTCTATAATTTTTTATCAAGTTTTAATTTGTTTTTAATGTTAATAATAATTATCTTCTTTCTTTCTGAAGTATTTGGTAGGTTTTTGTTTATTATTTGTTTTCTACATTTTTTTATCGAGTTTGGATTGTTTGTAATGTTCATAATAATTATTTTCATTGTTTTTTTTCCTCTTAAATATTAAGCATTTTAGTTTTGAATCTTTTTTTTGGTACATTTTTGTTTATTTTGTTTCCTTTTTTTTTCTTACTACTAAATATTTTTCATCAAGTTCTAATTTTTTTTTTTTGATTTTTGATATTTATATTTCCATTTCTTCCTATCTTTTATACCTGAAGGACGTGTTTCAGTTTTTTATGGTAAAGTTTTTTCATAGGTTTTTGTTTTAGTTTTGTTTTTCTTAATTCAAAATTATTTTTTGCGATCTGTTATTTTTTTTAATTCCTTTTATTTATTTTAAAAATTAAGTATTTCAGCTTGGAATCTTTGAGTTGTTTTGTAATATTTTTCTTTATTTGCATTTACTTCTTTTTTACAAAATATTATTTTTGTGATGTTCCGATTTTCTTCAATATTCAGTATTTATAATATTCTTTTTTTCTTGTTTCTAATTAAGTACCTGTTTAATTTTTGAATTTTTGCGTGTTTTTTTTTGGTAGATTTTAGTATTATTTTTTATATTTATTCGTTTTCTTTCTATCTAAAAATTCATTATTTTGGATTTAAATGCTTTTTTATCGTATTTTGACTTTTTAAAATTTATCATATTTCCATTTTTTTTTTGTTTCATAGACATGCTGTTTTGGATTTTTAAGGTTTTTTACTAGATTTTGGTATTTCTTACTCATTCCTGATACTCCTTTGCTCTGATTTAATTCTTTTTAATATGCATATGGTAATATTGCCTTTTCTTTGTTTTTTTAAGTATTTCAGTTTTGAATTACCTATTGAATTTTTTTGGCAGGTTTTCGTTTTCATCTTTTTTTTGTAGATTTTTGTTTATTTTTTGTTTTCTTTTTTTTTTTACTAGAAAATATTTTTCATACTCTGACTTTTTTTTGATATTCAGTATTTATATTGCCTTTTCTTCCTATTTTTTATAAGTTACTTCTCTGTTTCAAGTTTTTTTGGTAGGTTTCTGTTTTAGTTTTGTTTTTCTTAATCCAAAATAAGTTTTCATGTACTGCTTTTTATAATATTCATAAGAATAACTCCTGTTTATTTTAAAAATTAATTAAAAATTAAAAAAAAATTAATTAATCTTTGTTCTTTTGGAATTTTTTCTTTATTTCTTGTTTTAATATTTTTTTTATATTTTAATATTCAGTATTTATAATATTTCCTTTTCCTGTATAAGTACTTACCAGTATCATTTTTTAATTTTTGTTTTTTTTTTGGTAGATTTTTGTGTATTTTTTATATTTATTCTTTTTCTTTCTTTCTAAAAATTCATTATTTTGGTTTTGAATCGGTTTTTTTAGCTGGATTTTTTTTCTCAATATAAAATACTCTCGTCATATTTTCAGTTTTTTAAATGCAATAAAATACTTCAATTCCTTTCTTTTGTTTAATAGATAATATGCTGGTTTAAATTTTTAAGTGTTTTTATTTACTAGATTTTTGAATTTTTTTATTTTTCATTCTTGATGTAGAATACTTTTTGCTGACACCTAATTATTTTTAATGTGCATGATAATATTTCCTTTCCTGGTTTCTTTAATAATTAAAAATTTCAACTTTGAATTTTTAATTTTTTCGGTAAGTATATTAGTACAGAATATTTTTTTGTATTCATGATAAAAACTTTTTTATTAATACAAAATCATTTTTATGCATAATAAAAATTTCCTGTTATTTCTTTCTTTTAAATAATCTGTTTTTTTTTTTTGGTATGTACATCTTTGTTTATTTTTTGTTTTGTCCTTTTTCCTATTAATACAATTTGTGTTGCTAAGTTATAATTTCCTTTTCCGTTAATAATGGGGTAGTTTTTTTTTGGTAGATTTTTGTTTTCTCTCTGTTCTCCCGTAATACAAAACCTTTTTTATCTTGTTCCAATTTTTTTGTAATATTCATATTTCCTCTCCCTTCTTCTAAAAATTGCTTCAGTTTTGAATCTTTAAGTCTCTGTCTTGCTAGACTCAAAAATTGTGGTAAAACATGTTTTAAGTCCAAACTTTTGCTCATACATTCATTGATATCGCTTAACTCCCGTAGCGCTTACTGCGGGGGACTCTGGATGGCGGCCTGCGCCGCCATGGTCGTCATGTCGGAGCTGCTGTTCAAAACGGAGGAACGTGACTTCTTCGACGACCTGCTGACGAGGGGTAAAAAGTCGTACGAGGCCAAACTGTGGAACGGCCTCTACTACAACTACGACTGCTCCGCCAAGCAGTTCAACGCCATAATGGCGGACCAGCTGTGCGGGCAGTGGTACCTGAGGTGCAGCGGAATAGAGGATTACGTCGTGAGTACATTGGATTTTTTTTTGTGACGGCGAAAACTGGCAATGGACGATATTTTTAGATCATGCCGCAGGAGAACGTTAGGACCGCCCTGAAAACCATATACGAGAACAACGTGCTGTCGTTTTGCAACGGCAACATGGGGGCGGTCAACGGTTTTATAAACGGAGACGTCGACTATATCACTTTGCAGAGTCAGGAGATGTGGACGGGGGTGACGTACGCCTTGGCAGCTACGATGATTCAGGAGGTAAGTGCTTGTGAAGATTTCGAGTCTTAGGTGTCGTTTTTTGGCAACGTTGTCGTTTTTGGCGAGTATGACAAATATACAGTTAAATCGGGGTGTTATTTATGTGGAGGCTAATTTGTTTTGTTAAACTGTCATGAAAACTGATTATTTTTTTAACCTTTTTTATTTTTTTGTAATTTTTTACGCCCCACCACTGGATTGGATAACTTCAAACAGCTCCCGCTAGCCTGAAAGTTAGGAATGTACTGTTAAATCTCATTTTTCTTGATTTATTTACGTGTTTTTTCATAATGTCACAATGAAATTTAACGATGAAGATGCACAAACACACACCATATTTTATTTCGGTTCCAATAAAAACTATTACTTCACGCTGAGAGTGCTGAAATAATCGTTTGTTTTTTGCCCACTTAGTTCCTTGTTGTCATTTCACATCAGGTGGATCCGTGTTTTGTAGCTCATCTAAAGTTGTTCAGTGTTAGAACATATTGACACTGAGATTCACAAACTAAACACAGTGCTTTAAAAATTATTGTACATTAATACTTTTTATAAAAAATTTTAAAAGATTAAAAAATACTTCATATCAGATTAGTATGTTTAGTTAATTTTTTTTGGTTCGACTTTATTGTAATAGATAATATTTCCATTTTTTTTGCTATTAAAATTAAGTATTTTTGAACCTTTATTGTGCAAAATTTTTGTTTTATTTTTTTGTTTTCTGATAAAAAGCAAGTATTTTTTTGTTTTCTGTCTTTTTCTTATAAATTATTTTTTTTGCGTTTTGATTTTTTCTCTGTTAAAAGCAAGTATATCAGTTTTGAAACTGTTTTTTTTTGTGATAGATTTTTTCCCTTATGTTTTTGTAATATAAAATATTTTTTGTTATTTAATTTTTTTAGTGTTCTAAATTGATATTTTCTTTTCCTTCTTTCTTTTAATAATATTTTTTGAGATCTTTTAGATTTTTGCAGATTATTATTTTTAGTTATTTTTTTGTTCCGTTTTGACCGTTTTTATTGTAATAGATAATATTCCCATTTTTTTCCTCTTAAAATTAAGTATTTTTGAACCTTTATTTTGGTAAATTTTTGTTTTTTTTTGTTTTCTGTCTCTTTATTCTTAATATAAAATATTTGATTGTGTTCTGATCAGTTTTGAACCTTTTTTGGTTTTTTTTTGTGAAAGATTTTTTTCTCATTTTTTTGTCGTCTTATTTTTTAATGTTCTAAATTGATATTTTCTTTTGTTTTTTTTTTAATAGCGGATTATTCAGTTTTGACTTTTTGAGTTTTTTTGGTAGATTTTTGCTGATTATTACTTTTAGTTATTTTTTTGTTCCGTTTTGACCGTTTTTGTTGTAATAGATAATATTCCCATTTTTTTTCTCTTAAAATTAAGTATTTTTGAACCTTTATTTTGGTAAATTTTTGTTTTTTTTTGTTTTCTGTCTCGTTTTTCTTAATATAAAATATTTTATCGTGTTCTGATCAGTTTTGGAAGTGTTTTTTTTTGGTGAGATTTTTTTTTTATATTTTTTGTCCTCTTATTTTTTAATGTTCTAAATTGATATTTTCTTTCGTTTCTTTTTTTAATAACGGACTTTTCAGTTTTGATTTTTTGAGTTTTTTTGGTAGATTTTTGCAGATTATTTTTTTTTCTTAAAATTAGTATTTGCGAACCTTAATTTTGGTAAATTTTTGTCATTTTTTTGTTTTCTTTTTCTTTTTTCTTAATATAAAATATTTGAAACTTTGTATTTTTTTCTTATATTTTTTTCTCATATTTTTGTAATATAAAATATTTTTTGTCATCTGATTTTTTTAATGTTCTAAATTGATATATTCTTTTCTTTCTTTCTTTTAATAACAGACTAACAGTTTTGATTTTTTAAGTTTTTTTGGTAGATTTTTACATTTTGAGTTTTTACGCTAAATTATACAAATTCTATTTCGATTAGTTAAAAACTAATATACAGACAGTTGTTTCTTGCCCCCTTAGCGTCCCGTTGTCATATCACATCAGGTGGATCGGTGTTATACAGCTCATCTAAACTTGTTCAATGTCAGAGGTCATTTACACTGATTCACAAGCTAAATACAAATTATTGTAAATACTTTTTACGAAAAATAAGAAAAGATTAAAAAATAATCCAAATCTATCAGATTAGTATTTTTAGTTATTTTTTTGTTTTGTTTGGACTGTTTTTATTGTAATAGTTAAAATTTCCATTTTTTTGCTCTTACAATTAAGTAGTTTTGAACCTTTATTTTGCTAAATTTTTATTTTTTTTGTTTTTTGTCTTTTTCTTAATATAAACTCTTTTTTCGTTCTCTTTTTTTTTTTTTTTATAAAATATTTTGTCATCTGATTTTTTTAATATTTGTAAATTGATTGATTTCTTTCTTTCCTTTAATAACGGAGTTTTGATTTTTTTGGTCGATTTTTGCACTTTGAGTTTTATACTAAACTATAAATTCTATTTCGAATCGGTAAAGACTAATATACAGACAGTGGTNGTATTTTCGAACCTTAATTTTGGTAAATTTTTGTCATTTTTTTGTTTTCTTTCTCTTTTTTCTTAATATAAAATATTTGAAACTTTGTATTTTTTTCTTATATTTTTTTCTCATATTTTTGTAATATAAAATATTTTTTGTCATCTGATTTTTTTAATGTTCTAAATTGATATATTCTTTTCTTTCTTTCTTTTAATAACAGACTAACAGTTTTGATTTTTTAAGTTTTTTTGGTAGATTTTTACATTTTGAGTTTTTACGCTAAATTATACAAATTCTATTTCGATTAGTTAAAAACTAATATATAGACAGTTGTTTTTTGCCCCCTTAGTGTTCCGTTGTCATATCACATCAGGTGGATTGGTGTTATGTGGCTCATCTAAACTTGTTCAATGTCAGAGGTCATTAACATTGATTCACAAGCTAAATGCAAATTATTGTAAATACTTTTTACGAAAAATAAGAAAAGATTAAAAAATAATCCAAATCCATCAGATTAGTATTTTTAATTATTTTTTTGTTTTGTTTGGACTGTTTTTATTGTAATAGTTAAAATTTCCATTTTTTTGCTCTTACAATTGAGTAGTTTTGAACCTTTATTTTACTAAATTTTTATTTTTGTTTTTTGTCTTTTTCTTAATATACACACTTTTTTCGGTCTTTTTTTTTTAAAAGCAAGTATATCAGTTTTGATACTGTTTTTTTTTTTTTAAATAGTTTTTTCCCTTATATTTTTGTAATATAAAATATTATTTGTCATCTGATTTTTTAATATTTCTAAATTGATTGATTTCTTTCTTTCCTTTAATAACGGAGTTTTGATTTTTTTTGGTTGATTTTTGCACTTTGAGTTTTATACTAAACTATACAAATTCTATTTCGAATCGGTAAAGACTAATATACAGACAGTGGTTTTTTGCCCCCTTAGCGTCCCGTTGTCATATCACATCAGGTGGATCAGTGTTATGTGGCTTATTTAAACTTGTTCAATGTCAGAGGTATTGACACTGATTCACAAACTAAACGCAGTGCTTTCAAAATTATTGAAAATATTTTTGCATAAAATAAGAAAAGATTAAAAAACAATCCAAATCTATCAGATTAATATTTTTTAGTTATTTTTTTGTTTTGGTTTGGCTGTTTTTTTTGTAATAGATAATATTTCCATTTTTTTGCTTTTAAAATTAAGTATTTTTGAACCTTTATTTTGCTAAAGTTTTGTTTTTTTATTGTTTTCTGTCTTAATATTTTCAGTAGCATTAAAAAGTCCAGTCCTAGTTTTTGATATAAAAAAAAATGAGTACGAAAATATAATTTTCAGTTTGTCACTGAAATTTTCAAAACGAAAAAAAAAAAACAATTTTTCTTTGCCATAATTTGACCGACCACCCGGTGTAACCAATTTTCCATATTTCCCGTTTCAGGGCATGTTGGAGGAGGCCTTCAGGACGGCGGGCGGGATGTACAAGTCCATGACGGAAACGTTCGGTCTGGCCTTCACCACCCCCGAGGCCCTGTACGCCCGTAAATACTACCGGTCCATCGGGTACATGAGGCCTTTAAGTATATGGTCGATGCAGATCTCCCTCGAGCAGAGGAACAGGGCGAAACAATAAGCGATGTGTCGTTTTTCCCGTTTTCTTATCGGAACTAGTTTGATGATGATTTTGAATTAATTGGTGTTGTCGGATATCTTTTCCGTTGTGATTTTAGTGGCATTTAGTATTATTATGATGGTTTATTATGGGTGATCGATTGATAAAAAAAAATATGATGTGATACGTTCATTTGTAGCGAGGATAACTAGAAATCGTAATATCGCAATTAAAAAATTTATATTAATCGATCGTCACTGTATTCTTGCTTTTTTCTAGGCTAATTTGCACAATTCCAAAAATTAGTCGCTAAGGTTCTGTTTTTTCATTTTGTATTTTATTTGTTAATCTGGCATTGAATTTTAAAATAAAATCGATCGGCACATGTCGAGGAATTCCATTGTAAAAGTGAATTTATTCAAATACCCAAAATTCTTAAGAATCGTCCAAAAAGAATCGTAAAAAATTTGTAAATATCACAAATTTCTGATAAAAAAAATGTTTAATCGAGTTCGTAGTTCAATTAATAGGCGGTTTGGGTTAATTTTCCAAATTGCGGTTAGGTGAAATACGTCAAAACTGGAAATAAGCGCGTTTACTAAAGGAAGACAATAGTAGATCAAATGTATCGTAGGCGGAACAGTAAACTGTATTACGGGTTGCATAAGTTATCTGCGCTTCAATTCTCAACCAATTCGATATGCAACTATGATAACATCGCAGTGTATTTCGTGTTGCCTCCCTTTAAAGTTAGCACTGGATTTAGGTACGAGTTCCTGCCAGCACGCATATTTTTTATTTAAAAAAATATCCTGAAGGTATATTTTATTGTAGACAGCCCGTAATTCTTCGTAATTTCTTTGCACCCAAAATTCTCACAAACTGTCTTAAAAAAAATCGTTCCAATTTGATTCCACAGATAAAATTCTCAAATTTCTTATAAAAAAATGTTTAATCAACGTTTCCTCATTTAATTCATCGATGATTTGAATTAATTTTGCAAACTGGTGCACTTGAGCGAATAGATCAAATACACACGCTAAACGGCTGTAAATCTTTATGTTTTACGGAAAATATGCGCTACAAATTGACCATATCTTGATACAAATCGATTTAAACATATTTTTGTGGAACAAAAGTGTGCAAGATTAGACAAAACTGAAAATAAGCGCGTTTACTGAAGGAAGTCAAAAGTAGATCAAACGTATCGTAGGCGGAACAGTAAACTGTATTACGGGTTGCATAAGTTATCTGCGCTNAGCCGACCACCCGGTGTAACCAATTTGCCATATTTCCTGTTTCAGGGCATGTTGGAGGAGGCCTTCAGGACGGCGGGCGGGATGTACAAGTCCATGACGGAAACGTTCGGTCTGGCCTTCACCACCCCCGAGGCCCTGTACGCCCGTAAATACTACCGGTCCATCGGGTACATGAGGCCTTTAAGTATATGGTCGATGCAGATCGCCCTCGAGCAGAGGAACAGGGCGAAACAATAAGCGGTGTGTCGTTTTTCCCGTTTTCTTATCGGAACTAGTTTGATGATGATTTTGAATTAATTGGTGTTGTCGGATATATTTTCCGTTGTGATTTTAGTGGCATTTAGTATTATTATGATGGTTTATTATGGGTGATCGATTGATAAAAAAAAATATGATGTGATACGTTCATTTGTAGCGAGGATAACGAGAAATCGTAATATCGCAATTAAAAAATTTATATTAATCGATCGTCACTGTATTCTTGCTTTTTTCTAGGCTAATTTGCACAATTCCAAAAATTAGTCGCTAAGGTTCTGTTTTTTCATTTTGTATTTTATTTGTTAATCTGGCGTTGAATTTTAAAATAAAATCGATCGGCACATGTCGAGGAATTCCATTGTAAAAGTGGTTTTATTCAAATACCCAATATTCTTAAGAATCGTCCAAAAAGAATCGTAAAAAATTTGTAAATATCACAAATTTCTGATAAAAAAAATGTTTAATCGAGTTCGTAGTTCAATTAATAGGCGGTTTGGGTTAATTTTCCAAATTGCGGTTAGGTGAAATACGTCAAAACTGGAAATAAGCGCGTTTACTAAAGGAAGACAATAGTAGATCAAATGTATCGTAGGCGGAACAGTAAACTGTATTACGGGTTGCATAAGTTATCTGCGCTTCAATTCTCAACCAATTCGATATGCAACTATGATAACATCGCAGTGTATTTCGTGTTGCCTACCTTTAAAGTTAGCATTGGATTTAGGTACGAGTTCCTGCCAGCACGCATATTTTTTATTTAAAAAAATATCCTGAAGGTATATTTTATTGTGGACAGCCCGTAATTCTTCGTAATTTCTTTACACCCAAAACTCTTACAATTTGTCTTTAAAAAAATCGTTCCAATTTGAATCCACAACATGAAATTCTAAAAATTTCTTATAAAAAAAAACGTTTAATCCACGTTTTCTCATTTAATTAATCAATGGTTTGAATTAATTTTGCAAATTAGTGCACTTGAGCGAATAGGTCAAATACATCGTAGGAGTAAAAATAGTTGTACACGCTAAACGGCTGTAAATCTGCAAAATATGCACTATGGTTCATTATAAATTACCATATCTTGATACAAATCGATTTAAACATATTTTTGTGGAATAAAATTAGACAAAACTGAAAATAAGCGCGTTTACTGAAGGAAGTTAAAAGTAGATCAAACGTATCGTAGGCGGAACAGTAAACTGTATTACGGGTTGCATAAGATGTCTACATTTCAACTTTCAATTACTTAGCGCTCAATTTACGTACGAGTTCTTTTCAGAATGTACATTTTTTATTTAAAAAAATATGCTGAAGGTATATTTTATTGTGGACAGCCCGTAATTCTTCGTAATTTCTTTACACCAAAATTCTTACAAATTATCTTAAAAAAAAATCGTTCCAATTTGATTCCACAAATAAAATTCTGAAAAATTCTTATAAAAAAAAATGTTTGATCAACGTTTCTACATTTAATTAATCGATTGTTTTGAATTAATTTACCAAATGTTTGCATTTGAGCGAAGAGGTAGGTAATACAAATCGACTTGAGCATATTTTCATTGCATAAAAGTGTGTGCAAAATTAAACAAAAAAATAAGTGCGTTTACTAAAGGTAAAGATAGTAGGTCAAACGTATCATAGGCAGAACTGTGTGGTGCTTTAGTACGTTGCATAAGTTTGGCCCGTTATAACTTTCAACCAATCAGCTTGCGACGCGAAAAACAATTTTTAATTTCTAATGATATGCAATTATGATAACGTCGTTGTGTATTTCGTGTTGCCTACCGTTAAGGTAGCACTGAATTTACGTACGGGATTTTACAGCATGTATATTTTTTACTTCAAAATCAAAAAATTACCAGTAAATATTAATAAAAATAAACACTGATTATCAGATTAATAAAAAAACACTCAGTCTAAGTTAGAAAATTAAATATTCTAAGTATATTTTATTGTGGACTACCCATAATTTTTGAACAGGGACGTTTAAATTCTCAAAGTACTGACAAAAAAATATTTAATCGACGTTTCTTAATTT